TGAAACAACAAAACAAATTTTTGTTTTTCAAATTTCTTATAGTGGTTTTTGTGATAAAAATAAAAAAAAAAGGTGCGCTCAAAATGTATTTGTTTTTTTCCTGTTTAGGTAACATGGAAATATAAATGTATACATTTTTTTTTGAAACTATCGGGTTTGAACTTGCGATCTCTGGGATAACAACAGATTCGTACCACCACTTGGCTACGACAGACATAATGTAATCAGTATCAGCTCTTTTTTTTTATATACATTCTCGTTGCAACATTAAAATGTATAGGGAATTATGCAATTATAAAATCACTTTCCTAAATTTTTTAGTGAGCGAAACTCCCCCTTCTTATTGTGAGTTTGTAATTTGCACAGAAATAAAGGTATGCAATTTGGACCACCATAGATAGTTGAAAATATAGCGTTTGTAATTTTTACCAAAATGAATACGTACGAGTATGTATGATATACTCAGTGGTGGATTGCGTGACCGGGAATTCGGGAGTTTTCCCGGTGGGCCGCTTCTTCAAATAACACCTTAAAAAGTATTTTGTGTTAAAAAATTATGATGGAATTTTGAAGTATACTAAATAATACTTTAATAAACTAATTAATATACTAATAACGCTTTAATTTAATTTTCTTTAAATGTCTTTATAATATACATTTAATGAAATACAGGTACCTACATGACACATATAAAGAATATTTTATTCCTTTAAGCCTGAGCTTGTAATGGAAAAGTGTTCAATAATATAAAACGAATACAGTTTTAGATTCTGTGTGGAACGAGGAATGTATTAGTTTTACCATGATGTTTATTTTTAAACATTTTTATACTGTGTATGAAAATTCAACCAGAAATATTGCTCCGATATATACATACGACACCATTTCTGAAAGGAAATATTGTTTAGATGGTATTTTTGGGAAATCATTTTTTGGTTTTCAATGCGCTTTTCATAATATCTGGGAAAAATTAGAATAAAACGTGAGAAAAATGGGAAATTTACGAAAATAATAAAATTATTATTTTTAATTTGATTGTTTGTTGTAATTAAGTTAAAAATATTTGTAGAGTTTTGACATTAGGACGAAAAACTTATATTTGCCTTTTTTAGACGTGGTAAAATTTTCAAAAAATTTAAGCTATTTTTGAACTATTAGTTTAAACTATATTTTTGCGAATTTTATTTTTATTTGGTAGGTACTTTGTGGCAAAATTGTTAGATTTAACAGAAATAATTGCATATTTAATAGAAGGTTTATTAAAAGTCGTACTTTTTGAAAAAAAATTGAGCTAAATGCAGAATTTTATTTTTTATAAAGGAATTTTAATATGAAATTTTGATGAATTAAGTGGAACAAATTTAATTTTAAAATTTGTTTTTTTAACGTATGTAATATGTATATACTGATTTAAGAATGATGGTGAAGTCAAAATTGAGCGGACTGACTTAGTATCGAAATTATAGCTTTTTTTAAGTTCTGATATTATGCGGATATTGTATGTTATGTTAAATAACTCAATATTGTCAACCTTATATTATGTCTGTCGTAGTCTAGTGATGCTACCTACCTATAGTCATAAAACCAGTGTTCCGGAAAAAATTATTTGCATTTGTTTTTTCCCTTTTACTTAAACAGAGAAAGACAAAGGCCTTTTGGGTGGACTTATATTATAGAGACCCAAGCCATCGCTCGCTCGGAATATTTTAATCGAAAAATATCCTTCGATTTGTTGTGCATACGTTTGGATACAGTCGATTGCGTCCAAAGTTAGGTAAACGAAAAATAGAGTATGTCTATTGCGTCCTGCAAAATTTCGTTTGCGTATATTTTGATCTTTTTTTTTACCATTTTCGAATTTCGATTGTGTCCGGTTTTAACAGGTGCACCTAACCTAACATATCCATAATGCACATGTGCATTCGATTGGGTCCTAAATGAAAAATCGAGAATTTCGATACCAGAAAGAACGCGATTGTAGGTACACGCACATTTAGCTCTAAACGAGTGCAGTTAGATTATTATTGCTTTACACTTCGTAATATCAAATTGATTGATTTTTTTCAGAAAAATAAATATATATATATGTATATAATATTATTATTTTTTGGTTATTACTCATTACAATTAGCCATATAATAATTAAGCATTACAAAAATACATAAAAAAAAAAAATGTACATAAATATAGGTATTATAATTATTATAATTAGAATAGTCATTTTTTTTAAAATGCAGCACTTTACAATTTACAATATTAAAGTCAAGATCTTTAATTATTATTATGATTTATTATTTAAATTAAAAGCCTTTAAGCGACATAATTTTAATACAGTTTAAACGAGGTATAATTTTTTGTTTATAATTGTTTATTTATTTATCAATAAATTCTTGTGTTTTGTAATAGTTTAGTCTGTATTTTATTGGTATTAGTTTTAGTTCTAATTGATGTCTGTCTGTAAATCAAGATTGATTCATTAAAATTAAAAATATTATAGGTACCACATGCAGTATAGTATTAATCCTTGTAGTTAGAACAATAGTAATAATACGACCGAATGCCGGATACAATTGAAGTCGTTTGGAACGTAATCGTATTCTACCGGACGCAATTGAAATTCTCAATTTTACGAATGGAACGCAATTGGATGTATACTTAGTAAAACAGGACACAATCGAAACTCGAAAAAGATTAAAAAGGTCAAAACGGGACGCAATCGAACGACGCCCCAAACGTTTCTACCAGAAATCTTGCCCTGATGTATCAATTTTAGAACCTTTTCTGAAATGAAATTTTATCTACATGGTTCTTTAGGTAGTTAATTTTTTGACTTTCCCAGGAGTTTTCCCAATAAATGTGAAAAACCGGAAAAATGAATAGAATATATTAAAGAAAATATAAAAATATATATAATGCATATTATGTTATTATTTTGCCAAAATGTGATATATATATTATTTTGTTGAAAAAGCATCACCATTAACCGAACTCCACTCAGGATAGATTTTCGTTAGTAATGGTTAATCGTTATCGGTTAACCGATAACGATTAACCACAACGATATACGAATCTGCTGCGTACAGATAAATTACATTTAATTTCCCTTCTACCTTCCAAATTTCCCTATAATAGTGGCCTACCCACTTGCGAAGTATGTCCGTATTTTTTCTAGTTACTTAACAATTAACGCATTCATTTTGAATTGTAGATAACGCGTCGTTTAATTTTAATTTTTAATAAAGTTTTTTACTGGTTTACTATTGTTATTATTATTATTATTTTTTTTTTATTTAAATATAAAATATTACATACACATATGATTGACAAATTACAGAATTTAACAATGGATAATATCTTTCCAAATGTGTAAAAAAAAAAATTGTAATTATGTTAAAATAATGATAATACATGTTGAATAAGTACAGTATTTGGTAAATTAATAAGTGAGCCGGTACTTTTGTATTTTCCCAGGTCGATATATCTCCCCGATTCGACTTTGGATAGACTAGAATACTTTTAATTCGTGGACAACCCACTTTCCACCTACTTTATACTGATACGGACAAAGTAATACAGAAATAAAGGCAAAAAGAATAAAAATTACCACGGGCAACGTCGAGCGCGGGACGGTTAGTTATTCATAAAAGTATTAACTTTTTCAGAATTCGTTGTAGATTTTGAGTGGAGCGAAGAAGCATTTGGTTTTACAAAAAGATGTTTTTTTTTATTTACGGCCAACTTATTTACTTGTTCTGATTTTTAAATTTAGCACTTTTTCTGAAAGGAAATAGGACTGAGAAGGTACTTTGGGGAAGTTATTTTTCGATTTTTCCAAGGTTTTTCCAGAAAATATGAAAAAACGGGAAAATATATGGAAAACGGGAAAATCGGTACAATATTAAACAATTATTATTAAAGAAAATATATAATGTAATTATTTTACCATGATATAACATATGTATTGTTTTTAAAGCATCATTATCAATTAAACTCCGCTCAGAATCGCTTTTCGTTATCAATGGTTTATCAGTTATACATTAAATTCCCTTCTGTATTCTACCTTCCTAACTTGTCATCTAAAACAGTGGCTGCACCCATGTGCGAAGTATATCGGTCTTTTTTTTCAGTTTTGTTTATTATATGATTATAATATATAATCAATGTTGTTAAATACAATTTTTATTTTAACAAAAATTATTTATAGAATATAAAAACCAAGTTTTGCTGGGTGGGTTCTAAAGTTTTTGTTTTGTCTCAAGTATAAAACATTTTCAGTACGCCACTGAATATAGCCATTTACACGAAAGTTAAATACATAATGTAAGAAACAGGGGGAAAGTTTCCGAATAGATTTTTACTGAGAATAATGTTACAGCTAGATGAAATTCTTCTTTTAGAATTTCATATTAATATTATAATTGTTTAACACGGCGATGATATATGCAGTATAAATTGTAACTATAAACGTCTAAAAGTCACTTTTTTATGCGATTATCGCTGTCGTAGTCGGCGGATACGCGAAGAGGAGGTACCGCATAATCGTCGTCGATCTCTGTGAACCGATCCTATTGGTCGTGTACACCCCCCTCTTACCGCTATGGTGGTATATTATTATTGTTTTTATATATTATATTGTTGTGGTTATCGGTTAGGACGCGGGAAATTATATATCGTGTATTATGTCGCGACCGAATCGGTTCGATGAACTCGGATTTCGGTCCCCTCCGCATCGGCCTGTACTGCACATGCACACGCAATATACATATATATATATATATATATGTATATATATATGTATAATATACATATGTATAATATATACGAGAGTTCACACCTCGGACCCGTCGACGGCGGCGATATTTTCCCGGAAGTTGGATCCCCGGACACAATGGTCGGACACTTCCGGTTTCGTGCGCCAAGGACGGTGGATATTCACCCGTGGAGATCCGAAACCACGGCGATTCACAGCGTCCGTCGCACGACAGGTCTCTTCGCTCTATGCCGTCAGTCCGACCAGTCGTGTATAATATTGTCATAATATCGTACTTACACCACGTATATTATCTAACCAGTAACCCCGTGACTAGAAAGTATTAAGAAAACCATAACAATAATATTATTATTAACATTGCCTACGTCATATTTATATAAAAGAAAAATACCGATTTACGAGCGCACGCCGCCGTAAAAAAAGCGCTGTTGTTCGTTGTGTCGTACACTCGGAACATGTGCTAGCACTCTTTCCATTTTGTGATTTACGCGAAAATGACATCAACAAATTGTTTTCCAAACATGGTTCAAGCTATCACGGTCCTCACTGTTTTAAAAATGCTAACAAATGGTGAGTACCCATCTACTTATAATATCGATATTATCATTATTTCGGTCGTAAGTGCATGCTTATATACGGTTAGATTTTATTATATGATGTGAAATCAAACCCGTATGGAATAAAAACAACCCTCGCGCGTCGAAAATTTCCATACAGGTGGAAGATTGCGCGATTATGGGTGCGTATGGACGAGACCAGAGGTGATGGTAAAAAAGAACATAATGTTATCCGTGTTTGTACGTTAGTTGTTTCTAGGTATTTTAATTTTCAAGTGAGACTAACTAGTACCAAATATCATAATTTATTTAAAAAACGTTCGTATTTCGTAATTTAAATTATAATAGGTATTTAATAACCCAACGACGTACAAACACGATTAAGTAATGTTCTACCTTTAAGTTTTTAATAACAGAGATCAATAATATTAAAAAACTAACAGTGAACAATTTCGGACCCACTGAACTGAAATTTGCTTAAATTGTTTAGATTCTGAGTGAATCGAAGAAGTTTACGGTTTTATAAAGATGTTTATTTTTTTTCTGTGCACCAATTTTCTATCAGATATCTTGCTCTGATTTTTAAGTGTAGCGGTTTTTCTTAAAAGAAATAGGACTGCAGAGATACTGTAAAAAGGTCATTTTTCGATTTTATTAGGAATTTTCTCAACAAATGGGAAAAACTAGGAAAGCACGAAGGAAAAATGAGAAAATGTCCGAAATTAATAGGATAGATATTAGTCAACAAATATGATGGTCTTTTTTAATCCTGTGAACAAATTTTTTACCAGTAATTTCGCTCCGATTTACAATGATAGCATTTTTTATAAAAGTAAATCTAACTGGGGAGGTCATTTTTTGATTTTTCAGGAATTTTCCGAATAAATGGGAAAAACAGAAAAATAGATAAAATTATATTAAACAAATATTATTATGTAGTTATTTTACCATGATATGACATATATATCTAGTTGATAAAGTAATACTATCAACCGAATTTTGCTCAGAATCGTTTTTTAATTAGCAATGGTTAATCGTTGCTTACAGATATACATTAAATTACTTATGACAGTGGCTATATCCGTCCCGATTATCCTACGACAGCTTTTTAAATATTAAAGTCATTAAAAACAGATGAATTAGTTTTTATTCCTAAACGATGTATTCAACGTTATATATAAAATAACAAGTAGAATAATACGAAAAATGTAAGACTCTACCGGAATATTGTCCATTTTTAATTTTATAACAGGTGGTTGATTTTACTCTAAAACCAAAACTAAACGAGTTCTACGCAGTTTGCGGAAGGAAGATTTTGCTCAATTGCCCCATAGTTAGATTGAGACAGCACATGCGGGTATGAAGTTCTCTTAATTATTGATGCTGTAATTTATTAATATTCGATTTGATATTTTTGACAATATTTAAATATCTGTTTTTTTGACATAATATTATCATGTATTGCGGCCGGGATACCGCGGTCAGTTTCGAGAGACAGTTCGTATAATATAGTCGAACAAATAATTATTATTATAGTCCTTCCGGTCAGCGTGTAGCGGTTACAGGTACACATGCAGGTATACAGCGGTCACAGTGGACGCGTACGCGATAATATGCGAATAACTCAGGGTCCAATGGTCCTGTAATTAAATCGCCAAGCGGTCCGTGGAATTCGGATAGAACAACGGCGGGGACAAACAAAAAACGCACGACTATAATACATTTTATTATAATAATATGAGTACGCCACCGGCCTATAATCACACGATAATTTCTATAGTTTTTCATTATTTTGTATTTAGGCGCACTATATAATTTGAACGACTACTATTCGACGCGTCGGTCGGGCGAAAGTTTTACGGGATAACGCGCGTGAAATCATTTTTTTTTTTTTTTTATAATAATTATTGTTACGAGTACGACAATTATATGCCGGGCCGTCCGTAACCGATTTATATTATATAGTGGACGACCGATAAAAGATTTAAAACGAAATACTTCAGCAACATAATATACTGACTCTGATTGAATCGGGGGGGGGGAAGTATGAAAAATAGCGGCGTTTTAAAAACAAATATTTAGAGGCTGTTTTTAATTTTAACCATTTATTATAAAATTTTAACCCCCCCCCCCTTCCCACAAAAAACTAGTAGTCAAATCTCTTTTTTTAAAATTATATGAAAAGACAAGAAAAAAATATTAACAAACTTTAGGTAGCTGTGTATCTTGGGTCATTTTTTGGGACGGGAAATATTTTTATTATTCAAAACTATTTGAAAACAAACGAAGAGTAGGTATATTCGAGTCTGGCGTTGAAAAAATGTAACAATTATTATTTTTTGTTTAAGAAAATGTAAGTTTTATTGTATTGGTGAAAATTTCGAGAATAGGCAAAAAAAGTACATTTTCATACCCTCTTATTTTCCAAAAATAAAAAAAATAAGTAATTTCAATCTAAGTCTGTTCGTACATTATTTGACCGTTTGTGGGGTTTACACATTCGCATGGCGGTCCTATAGACACGACTAATCATAGTAGAATATTGTACAGAGTAAAGTGTTGATTTTTATTTTGATTTGTTTCGCGTCAACGATGAACTTTTTCGTCCGTGGTTCTTTTCGTTTGATCTATGATATATTTTGTACTACTGTGTAGGTATTGATAGCAAAGGCGACGTGTCGCGATATATTACAATATAGTGTCGAGTGATGTCTAATGTAATTTTATCGAGCGAGTAATCTTTATTCCAACATGTGTTGACACGGATATATCAATCATTGTATAGTTTTGATAAATCGTTATCATGTTCATCCTGGTCTGATTATTATTATAGGTAGTTAATGCAACAATGTACTAATAACAAGCGTCCGGAACTTGATGCATTTGTATTTTTCTTTCAAGAATATTTCTTTCTTTCTTCTTTTAATTTAATATTATTATAAATTGTACAGATTGATGATCAATCCTTTATAAAATACTCTTTATATTTTCAGAAAGTATATACTTTATTCTTATTTATAATTTTTTTTTTTTTTAGACAATTTATTAGGTACGTAGCTTTAAAATATAAAATTTCCGTTTTTTTCGACCCACTTCAAACAGCAAACATTTATTAAAAATTCCATCAATCAATTACGTTTTAGTTTAATTACATTTTGATGTTGGCATCAACGTTTCCTTCTTTCCGTTGACGAGGTATCTAATTTTTATGTTTTGACAGAGAGAGAGTAGTGGAGCATTATTCAAATGATATGCCCCGTGCCGACACACAAATTATGTTCCACTTATCTTCCACTTATCTGAATTTAAAAGTGGAATATCTCGTCAACAGATAGACGGGAAATAATACCTACCAAAACTTATTTGAACTAAAACATAATCGATTAATGGAATTTTTATTACAGTTTATTACTTGAACATCAAAAGTAGGATAGTTGTTTGACAACTAAAAATAAGGGTGACAAAAATAAAGGTAACGTAATACTTAGAATTAATTACTTTTTTAAATTATTCAAACAAATTAAATTTTCCAAAATAAGTTAATATCTGAAATAACGAGTGATCTGTCGAAAATTGGCCACACTGTACACGTTATACATATGCATTATTTATTATATGTTTGTCTCTTCAGAAATTTTAATAAAAAGACAATAATGTGAACAATGCGAATAAGAAATAATATTATGTATGTATGTAATACTAAAAAAGACATTCATTTTTAGCTAATTTTCGTTGAGTACCTACATTTTGATTACATATGTATTTAGGTTAAAATTAAACATATTAGGTTGCACGCCATTGCATTGAATTCGTTGTTTGTATTTTTTTTTTTTTTGATCACGACTATCAATGGGAGTATTCAGCAAAATAATTTTTTGATATAGTTTTTGCTTTACTTTGGGGGGGGGGGAATATTTTAAAATTCGTCGTTATATTTCTTAATAATGGAGACAAAATCGAAAAAAAATCATCGGTATTTTTTAGATTCTGAGTGGCACGAGGAACGTATTAGTTTTACATTGATGTTTATAATAAATATTTTTTTTTTACTAGCGAACAACTTTTCTACCACAAATATTGTTCTGATTTTCAAGTGTAGCACTTTTTCTAAAAAAAAATTGGATTGGGGTGGTACTCTAAGGATTTCATTTTATGATTTTCCTAGAGTTTTCATAATAAATGGGAAAAAAACGTAGGGAAAATGGGAAAATTTACAAAATATATTATTTCAAATCGTAAATATTACAGCTATTTAAAATTGTATATCTGAACTCCACGTAGAATCGTTTTAATCATTGCGTACAGATATACATTCAATTTTCTCTTTACCTTCCCAACTTCTCACCTACAACAGTTTCTTACCTATAGTGCGAAGTGTGTTCTTTTATTATTTTTTTTTTTTGTTATTCAGTAAGAAATAATAGTAGTCTATAAACCTTCCGAAATATTTTCTTTTTATTCCGAGTTATAATTATTTAAAATTTTCGATTCGTGTGAATATATTATAGTGTTAAATAATAATATTGTTTTTTTGAACACCGCTTGTCGTATACAAATGTTGATGATAGTTGGTTATGGAAACCTAAGAGTATACAATTTTCAATTAAAATATTTTCATTTTATCTGTATACTGGGCCATATCTAATAGTCCCGTCGCTGTCATCACTATATTATGTTATCATTCCATCGGTTTTGAGTCATTTTTCAAAACGTCCTTTCATTTTGATCAATTAAAATATTTAGCAAACAAAAGTGTTTAACCGATTCTACTAATTTCGCATAGAGACAAAAAAACAATACAAATGGAATTCGTCATACGTTGTGGCGGTGACGGTGCACTGCAATTATTATTACCTATAATGACTATACCTAGGTACATGTCACTACTGCAGTGTAAACTATTTACATTTCGGGTTGTAGATCGGATCGCATCACGCGTACAAATCGGTCCAGACTTGCGTTCCACGGCCGTGTCATTGAGAACGTATGGAGAGATCGTTCGTCGCGATAACACCCCGCGCGGTTCGTTGCACTCTTTTGTCGGGCGTACACTGTGCGGGAACGCCACGGGTTTTCGCATGAGCGATTCGTAATGGCGAAAAAAAAACACAAAAAACCGAGTGTTTTAAAGGATCAGATAATAATATTATCCTCGTATAGGACTACGCAATAATTGTATGCGTCGTATAATATAATATCAGAGATAATAATATAATTATTGTATTACGATATATTGGACGATATACTCGTATATACAGGCGAGGGATAGAGGAATAACTGGTTTTGTTTTTTTCTTTTTTCTTTTTAACGACAGTCAGTGGTGAAATTATTATGCACCGACAGTTCGTTGAACCCGAAATAATTATTACGAGTATATTAAATCATATAATATAAAAATTATATATTAGTTGGAATATCGCTTATTTTTTTTTATTATCGGACCGAATATAAATACAGATAATCAGAAAAAAAACCATATTTTCGTCCGTTTCAATTCGGAACGCCCGCGTTAAAAATACCTAATCACAAACAATAGTTTACCGTTTTTTTCTTTCTTCTTTTGTCATGTTTTATACATATAATATTATAATATAGTGTGTATAACTGGAAAACCGTAATACACGACTGTGTCGAACGCCAAATAAATATATGTTTAATTTCTTTCACGGGTTTCATTATAATATTGTATGTCACTTGCAAGTTGTACGGTCGTGGAAAGGAAAAATTCCGATCCTATAATAATTGTTATGCTACACAGTTTCGGAGGTTGAATAATGATGTTAGGCTGAGTCGAGTGTCAAGCTGACGCAGTTTTTATAAGGCACAAATATTAGGCAGTGTTTAATCAAATAATTTCGTTCGAAATTTTGAATTTAAACATTTTTTTTTTTTTCAAGTTGTTTTCGGAAGATATCGATTAGAGAATATTGAGAAACGTGATTTCTTTAGATAGTTTATATCATTTACTCGTTCGATCGGTTTTAACAACGATTTTGGTTTCGAAATACGATCGTTCTAATAGTGCGAAACGACGGCAAAAAATTCGAAACAATATTATCGACACCCTTTGAACCGAACCCGTCTGTTCTTCGGCCAACAATAGTGACCATTCGATTTTTAATCACCAAAAGCGACGTCATAATCTCAAAATTCGTATCTATTTTATTTTATTTTTTTTTTTTTTTGGTACCTAAATTGCCCGTCGCAAAATTTAATCATCCGTAACCGGATTAACACACGTGGTTAGGTACGGTGGAATTTTGTACACAATAACGGACTTTAGGTATTGTGCTTTTTGACCAACGCTAATGGCTAACCTGGCAAACTGTGTCAAATGTATACGATCGTACGTTGACCGGGCCGTCTGCAGGAAATCACGGTGAGTTTTCCTTGTTTCCGGTCCCGATCCCGCTGGGTTTACCAACCTCTGTGTGTTCGAATATACAAACATATACACACACATACGTACACATCCCACTCGTCTATCTATTCGGGCGGACCCATTAAAAAATTGTGTAGACAAAGAAAAACCGAGTCTAAGATTACGGTCATATACTGAACATATTATGTTAAACAATTGGATGGTCATATATTCAAATATCATATTTAGTGTAAAATGTTTTGAAATCAACAATACGGCCGCATTTTATTATCAAAGAGGTTCGTGTTAACATTTGATTTGTTGATTACAGATTGATTTATTATTGTTTTATAATAATTATCCAGATCACAGATATCTACGCGGTTCAAATGTAAATACTGTACGGATCTCTTTGATAAGAAGATTTAACTATTTTCTCGACGTTATATACATATGTATCTGTGATTTACGCGGCTTGTCCGATAATATTATAAGACATAGACCACAATATCGAATGTCACAGTCGCCGGCACAGGTTGTCTTGAAGGTATCACTTTTGCCTATCCGACACGCCGCCTTACTATTGGCGAGATTTATATTGTTACCGTCACCCATACCGTGTTAAAAAAAACCAATGTGTCAAGCCAACGTCATCACTGGTCTCTCTTATTAGTTGATATTAATATTATTTATTTAACTTGTTTAAGAATGTTTCCCAACACGAGGAAATTAAAATTATCTATTTTTAATTTGCAGTTCATCGTATAGTTTTAGACGTCTAATTAAATCGTCCAGTATAATATAATATTTAGCGAAGACAAATAATTTTCAACAATAGCTAACTTTAATAATATTATTGTACTGTTTAAACGCTAACTCATTAATTATAATACATACAAAATGATCGCCAGAGGAAAATATTTAATTAGCTCTCTGTCATCATTTCTAAAAAATAATAATAAATAGTTTTACTGACGTTTTTTTTTCGTTTTAGTTAAGTTTTCACATATAATAATAACATTAATATATTATTAAGCATTGTATAATCATTTAAAATTGAAATGACCTAAAATTTGATATAATTAAAAAAAAAAAAAATGTAACCATCATAACATTACGGTGTACATTTTTTGCATTTTCCAAAAGGTATTTGTATTATTTTACAGTTTCGATATAATACGAGTACATGAATCATGATCAAGCAAATTAATACACCGATATAGTTAAATTATAGTAAATTGTACTTGACACAAATTAACTAACCCCCACTTTTTTTTAATACCCACACCATATCTAAAATGTATGATTTGCATTAATCTGACTGTATTGGAATTTCACCTAGTGGAAGGGTGTAGAACGCATTGATTTGTTCGATCACACATCGAATCATAACTAGTTCTTCCCGAGCTTCGACGAAGGAAACATTATCTTTGTTTTTTTACATTCCGTCAAATGGATCATCGATGATACAGTTCAATATAGTTTAAATATTTTATTAATTTAATTAAAACTACCGCGTGGTTACAATCGTTTGTGTTTAACGTTATAGAGTATTCTATTGTGTTTAAATTTCATTTCGTAACCATGATTATTAAGATTAAAAAGAATTTTATTGTCTCGTGTTTAGTGAACGCATTTTGGTTCTCGATACATACCACCGGTGGGTTTAGACTCGATCCACTGTATCGCTTCAATTCTTTTTCATATTCATATACATATACATATTTATTTTTTCATTTTTAAAATATAAATAGAAACCATCGTTGACGATATCATAATTTTATTACTAATTTTATTTGGTCATTGAATTTATGCAGGATTATTTATTTTTTTTTTCAGCACAAACAACATGCAATCAAGGTATCGGACGAATTGTTTACGAAAGGCTCCCGGACCATCAACTACAAGGATTCGACGATGATGTGGTAAGTACATTACTTACTTTTAACACATCAAAAAAGCTGTGAATATACCATTATACGAGATTTCGAAATTATATTCATTATTATATCATATAGAGTCTGATAATAATATGATATGCCCTTTACTTAAATGTAAACAAATGTTTGAAAAATACTTATGAAACCTTGGCAATTTAAATGAAAATCTCATAAACTAGACTCATACGTACTGTCAAGTTTATTTCATCGTACTGATTCGATTCGAGTATTTTCTTTTATTTTGACTGTACATACAAATTTTTCTCTTGACCGCTCGTTGTTAAAGCGTGTATATTTTATTATAATATAATTTATTTTCATGTTTTGAATTGAAACAAAAAAAAAAATATTTTGTCACATCTAAACATCATATTTACTATTGTTAAAACACATTTTAATTCAAATAATCTATGCCATACATTTTCTATATTTTACTTTCACAATTAATACTAAAGTTTAAGTACATTATATCACTAGAGTTGACCACTGTGATTTAACGAACGATAAAACGTTTTTATTGGTCGGAATAAAAACGAATGATGTCCATACTGATGATTGTAAATAAAATAGCAAATAAATGAGACCATTAACCTCGCAAACTTATTCCCTTTTCTAAAATCATTCATCTACTATTAAAGTACACATATTAAGTATTCAAGAATTTTAACAAATATCATATTCTGTTACATTTTTCCTATACAGTTTTTTTTAACGATTACTTAAATAAAATTACTAATCATGAACATTTCAAAGAGAATATCTATATACGTATATATATATTTAATAATACATAATGTGTATATTATATTATGATATATAAAAAATATCTAAGCCATTTAAATGCCTGTGATTTGTTTATTAATTTGGATCATATTGTAATAATATTTTATTTGAAATACTTGATGAAACTACAGTAGAAGCCACTTATTAGGAACACTTTGGGACCGAGGTGAAACGTGTCAAGTAACCGATTGTTTCTAATAAATTATTGGTTTTAATATACAATTGATTTAATATATGACCAGTCCACAAAATATATTTGGACGGACTGTCCATATATATTTTGTTTCAATAACGCGATTGTATCAATCATCCGTGTTACTAATAAGCGACTTCTAATGTATATTGAAGTTTATTATAATATTGTTTTATATTTATTTGAATTACTATTAAACAAATTATTTTAGTTTCATAAATTTAATTTTCAATTGACTATGTATAATAAATTATTAAATAAAATAAGAACGAAGAAGAACTAATACTGTTGATGAGTATGTCACTTTTAAAGGTGAAAAGTTGGAAAGGTAGGATGCATAAAGTTATTTATTTTATATTTTTAATAAAAGATAAATGATTACCAACGAAAAACAATCTTGAGGGAAGTTCGTTTAAACATGATTTTTTAGACCGTAATATTTACATTTTTATCCAAAATTTGATCTTAAAATAATTGTGAAAAAAAATGACTGCATTGCACTTACCTGTTTTTTTTTCATGGAGTGACTGAAGAACAGATTATAGTAAATAATAAGATAACAGTAAAACAGTCACGTTTCACAAATTATTTTTGTATTGTATTGAATACCTACTAACTTGAAATTATCAAAATAAAAATATGATACCATTATTAGATTTTATGGCTGGAAATATAGTATAATCTTATCTATACGATTTTCGAGTGTCAATTATAGCTAAAATAGTAGTGCATATGAGTAAATTTAGCAAAATTGCAATAAAATTGAAAAACATTGCACTTAAAACTTCTAGATTTGATTTCGTACTTACATGAAACGTATTTAAAACTACATTAGCAATAAATTGAAAAGGTAGAAAAAAAGTTGCAAATGCAACAACATCCGTGCTCTAGTAACAAATTATAAATTTATAAAAATAATGTTTTTAACAAGATATCAAATATTGTAATTGCAATTAATATGTTAGGTTTTATTACTTTAAATTTAAATAATTTACTTGAAATTATTTTTATGCAAGTAGTTATCTATGATAATTGTATCGTAAAAATAATGAAAAGTAAAATTAAATAATTATAGTGAATAAATATCTAAGTTAGTATTATGAAATAAAGATAAACTATACTGGTTAGTATCTAGATGAAATAATATTAAAACAAAAGATGGGGTGGATAGGTAAATGCCAAAATATTCAAATATCTACATTTGTTGTCAACTAGATATATATAATACAATTTAAAAAGGTATATTTATTATTTACACCAAACCACACAAAATAAATTAAACACAACCAAGATAAATTAGTGGAATTACAGAAATAAACGAATACACCTACAAAATTTGAGTTCACATAGAGTTAGCCGGTCGTACTCATTCCAAAATGCCAGAGTAATCTCGCCTAGCTTGTGATTCCGTTTGAAATTTACCTTCTCATATTTTACAAATAAATCAGTGATAAAGTATTTCGAAAAATATAATTTATTGTGAACACAGGTTGGCCAACTTTAAATTAATTCGACCAATGTTATTTGCAAATATTTTTTCACATTACAGTTACGTTTTTTGTTAATTGTTAATCATCAATCATGACAAATGATTGATATGACTAATATGACTAATATTGTCTATCTGTAAATAATATTGACTAATATGTTAAATAAATATAATAAATCGAAAATTCGATTTTTTCTATTTTCCATTTATTGATTTCGTTAATTTTTGTTCCATTATAACGTTATAAATAACGTTTTGAAGCTCTGATTTTAACACAAAAATACAATTGAAAATTATAAAAGCATTATTTCCGTAAATTTTTTCGTTCTTTCTCCCTTTTCCTTTTTTGGTTTTATTTCATTATTAATAAATCTACACAAAAAATCAAAAAACAACTTTCTTGTTCACCAACAAGATTAAAAATGGAAGAAAATAGTTCTATTGTAGTTTCTGGAAGAAAAAATCCAAAACTCTTACACCGACTTGATAAAATGTCCTTTTAGAAAAGATTCCACCATACCATACCATACATACTATACATCAGTGCACTTTTTCTGTTAAAAATATTGTTATAGATAAAAATGAATAAAACACATCATAGTAGACATCCATCACTCTTTTCCGAATCTAAAAGTTAACTTAGTACTGGGGCGATTTGAAAAGAAAAACCATACACCTACTGTAAGAAACGATAAATTAATGAAGTTAAAATACTAATTTAACCAACAGTTTCGATTTTTCGCGATTTTCGGTCAAACATAAGATTCGGTTGAAAAAAAAAAAACTACTTTGTAGAGATTTTTACCGGCTCGAATTTTTACCACGTGAAGTCCACATACCACAGTTAATAAGTTTATTGATTTTTGTATTAGGTACGTGATACGGCCCCACCGTTTCGGGTGTTGGAGAAATGTCAAGAGTTGTGCTTGCGGGATAGAACGGCCACCAACAATCTCGTGCGGACTTGTACTTCGTTCGATTTCCAGCCCGGCAGCCGAATTGCCTCGTTCAGCGGTACCGTCGAATACGAAGAATCCACTTGCTATCTGACCCGTGAACAGGCTCATCCCGAGGGAATCGGTGTTCTGGTACTTGTCCCCAACAGCGTCCACTACACCGAAGTCTGTCTATCCTGTGAGTATATTTAAGATTTTATTTAAAAATATAATTTAAATATAGGTATATTATTTAAAATATAACATATTATAATAGCATAATAAATACATTAATATCAAGACAAATCGACTATCAGTGACTTAATTCATGAAATAAAATTACATTAAATCTGGTAGGTATAGGCTAAAAACAAGAAATCAAATTTTCTTGAGTAAGAAGTCTGACTTAAAATTGGTTATTTTGGTTATAGTTTGTGCGGCGGGCTTTTACATGGAATGTTGAATTATAGAATGCGAGCTGTATTGTGGATATACGTGCAGGAATAGAAGTTGCTGGATAAATTAGGAATAAGAGATTATATTGTATTCAGTGGTGGCTCGTGGGTAAAATAATTGATGGTGCACATTTAAAAAATTGTATACATAAGTATAGCCAATTCAGAAAACAGGAACTAAAACAAATATTATTTTATTGAAATATGAATATATTTGTATTTGTTTTATATATAGGAGGTTATTAGGTAAAAATCTAAAATATATTTGGGAATTATGTTTGTTTTTGTTACGTTTTATTAAATAATATTATTTATGGATTGAATGTGTCGGTCAGTATTTTCTATATTTTTGAAATAACGTCGCCCGCCAGACAAATTTAATATTATTCAAAAGAAATCAGTTCCCAAGGCGTGATATTCTCCATTAGCAGCGGCAGATGGCTGTACAGTCGCGGAGGTGCAATTTTCGTTTGTGCACCAACATACCACAAGTCTAATGGTAATTGTGCCAGTAGTGGGAATGAAATGGTCAAATGCGCGGCTGGTGCAAAAATTGTATTTGCCCGTCCATATCCCCCTGCCGCTGTGGGCGTTGAGTATTGTGTACAATGGCATACCTATAACGTGCGATAGCATTCGTTTTTCTCGACTTTTCGAATTTAATATTTTTAAATCTATAAAATAATTTTTATTTTTGTCTCTAAAATGAATCTGAATGTATTTCTATATTATATTAATTAATAATATATTTTTTTACTGTGGTAAAACAGCAATGTATAGGTAGTTTTCAAAATTGTAGGTGGTGCGCTGCTCCTGTGCACCATAGCATAAGCCGCCACTGATTATATTATATTTTAGGTGCATACCTACATTATATAATACCATCACTCTGGAACCGATTTATCGTATGAAAATTTAGATTGGTCAACATCAATATTGTATAAAGATAAATTTTTAAATATCTAGATAAAGATAAGATACAGTTGCTGGATTAATAATCTTAATAATGAATAACAATCAGGAATATTTGTTTAGACAAAAAAAATTATAATTTTGTTCATTACCTACCATAAAACAGAGTGCTAAAAGTAGTAAAGAGTATATCAGATTTGATAGATACACATCAAAATTTTGCTTGGAAGTTGTGTAATAATAATTGATGCACTTACTTAATAATTTAATGTAATTTATTTTGTGATTTAAAGTAACTTAATTGTTGATTTATTAAACCATTCTAGTATAAATTAAATATTTCACTTATAATTTTTAATACATAAATAAATTACGTTTTAAAAAGATTCATACATAGATGATTCAATTATTTATTTCAGATGAAAGCCCAGATAACTTATTTCTCATTTTTCTATACAAGATAAAAGATATACTTATACAAATAATTTATCTGGATAAAATATAACACTGCTGGTCGTTATTAGTTTCCACAAGAGTATTATAATAATAGTTTAAACCTATCACGATAGTAATATTTATTATTTTACTCATGTAGGTACCGATCCTAAAATATAATATAAAAATATAAAATGTTTACCTAAAATAGAAATTATTCAAATTCTCGAGTTCCGTTTTATCGTTTATAAAACAACATTGTTTTAGTTTTGGATAATTTATTACTCGCACAGTTCTTTATTGGTATACGTTTGAAAACCTAGAGGTCTTCGAAAATATTTTCAAAACGGCTAAATGATCTGGTTCTACGTTAAACTACATGATTTCAAAGTTTTTTTTTCTTGTTATAATTTATATAACTTTGCGATGTGATCCATATAATTTATATTATTTTTAAACTAAAAATAAAAATGTTTAAAAAAATTGTTTTTACAAAATCCAAGATAGCCTTTTTATAACTATATTTCGAAACAAAATGTTGGTGTTTTTAATTATTTATTTCTCACGGAAAAATATTGGTGAATTGATTGATATTAATATTATTATTGGGCATTAAAAATTTTTAATTATTTTGAAAATCAACATATTATATTCTAGTGATTATTACAAGGAAACAAACTTCATAACATCGAGCAGAACAATTGTTATTTCAAGTGTCACATCTTCGTGTTTACAGCCTGTATTTTAAAACGAACACGGGGTTTCCTCTTTAACGGGTCGCTTTGTTGTCATGGTAAATCGGCTATCCTATATCGTTTCTCCGTCTTTCAAAATGTTCAAACCTATCACATCGCAATTCATTCCTTCTCTTATTTTTAGATAAATTAATGGATGGTTGACAATAATATAATATCTTTTTAAATATTAAGCATCGATATAAGAACTTTATTGTTTCGCATAATGTGGTAAAAGCGAAAAAAAATATTATTTTGTATTAGGTCATATATAAGATGTCTTTTATTTCGAAATTTTGGTTTTTTCCTTTTTCAAAACCTGTAAAATATTATTATTTCAATACGATTAAAAAAACAAAAAAGAAAAGGTTATATGAGTATATTATCATTTAGTTTCGTTCAATGACATCTCGTTGGATTTTGAAAGCTCGGTTTTTGCTTCTTCTCTGACCTCGATGATTGACGGATAAAATTATCTTTGTTCCGTGGGACAATAATCACCCCCGGTCAAACACACCGTGTGCAACCGACCATGAGGTTACCTACGTTTTATGATCGACGTCGGGTTACTAACCTTTTGTGATATAAATCGCAATATTCAAATAATTGCCGGAAAGTACAATAATTATTTATTTCATTATTTTCGAAACGCATTTAAAATTATTTCTCGTTATCGTCAAAATAATATGATATTTTTATATTGATACGAACTGGTTGAACTGAATGCAACAGCGATTGTCGTTGGAAACCATATTATAGTTTAATAGAATTTACAAAGAAAATCAAAATACATGAATACATACATAAAATTCCATTGTATTATTGACACTTTGTCCAATTATTATCATTGCCTGATATAATCGGTTATTTATCAATTTAACTATAGATGTACTATGAACTATTATATGTGATAATTCATGTTATTATCACTGATTTTCATGCTGGTTCAACGAAAATAAATCAACTAAATTAAGATTATAAACAAATTCTCTATAAAAAGTCCACTGAAAAACACGACGGTGTATTAAAATACCTGAAAAAAAAAACATGACTTGTCTTATACGCTCCAAATGTGTTGGTTTTAGAATGATGTTTATTTTTTTTTATCTGTGGACAACTTTTTTACCAAAAATCTTGCTCCGATTTTTATGTGTAGTACGTTTTTTGAAAGGAAATTTTATCCGGGTGATGCGTTGATGAAGTCTTTTATTTATTTTCTAAGTGATTTTCATAATAACTAGGAAAACCGGAAAAAACGTAGGAAAGACAAGATAATGTACGTACATGATTAATCGTTATTCGTTAGCCATAACTTAACGTTGCGTACAGACAAAAATTAAATTCCCCTCTATATTCTATAACCTTCACAACTTTTCATCTACAACCTAGTACAACTTAGTACGGGATATACTTTGCCCACCCACTGTACGAAATATATCCGTTTCTTTTCTTTGGGAAATATTTGTCAATCCAAACTTATATAATATTATATTTGTATACCCAGTATAAACCTACCTTTCGTATTTACACATTTACAATGAATTCTCGTATGCCCTCTGATTCGTCACGTCCTTCTGTGATATGATGACTCGTATGAATAAACAAGGTGAAGCAATATAGATATAGACACACGGTTTGTGTATGTTATACAAAAATTGATTTTGTGCGTATCCCATTGTAGCCAGTAGAATCGAACGAGAATGCCCCAACAGACATTACGTTTTCGAGAGACACACCAGGAAGAAGCTCAAGTTGCCGCCCAGCGAATACAAGGAAATGATAGCGGCCAACCGAACGGATTGCGAGGACAAGTGTTTAAACGAATTCACGTTTGTGTGCCGTTCAGTTACTTACGATTCGGCGTCGAAGACCTGTTGGCTAACTAGATTCACCAGGAGATCTCATCCGGAATTACTAGAAGACGACCCTAGTTCCGATTATTTGGAAAACACTTGTTTAAACGGTACGGTATATAGATGTGTTTATAACTGATTTTTGTCTAATACTATTACGATTTTGAAATTAATTGTTGCTGTTAATATTATAGTCGAGAGACGGTGCGATGGACCGGTAATATTTGTCAAGGAAGAAAACAAACGGTTAGGCGGACCATTCGAAGTGGATATTTTCGCTAATTTATCTTTGATTGAATGCCAGGCGCAATGTCTGCGTGCTGAAAAGTGAGTAGAACGACAAAAAAGAGCTTTCAATATTATAATTTTATAGCTTGACAATAAAATACTCAATAATTTTGATTTATATTAGTAACTAGTACTTATATTTAGTTGTTACATAACTATTTTTTAACTATTAATTAACCTATTAATATATCAATTTATTTATCAATTAACATAACTATTAATTTGAATAATCTCTTATCTATTGGAAAGGATAGGATAAAATATGTGTTAATAATATATATCCAAATAAATATGAGTACAACATTTTCTCTCTCTCTCTCTCTTTTTCGGCTTCTATTAAACACCAAATAAAAGTTTTTGCCACCATCACTAATCATTCCATTTTCTTTGTTTTGTATTATATCCTTCCAGTTTGGCATTCCTATAAGTATCCAGATTTGTATTCCCTCATATCGATCTACTTCTTCCGAGTTCCTTAGTCTCTGTCCTTCTGATTTTCAGTTTAATACTTCCTTAATTGCATACAAATAATGTTCTACACTATGTTATATTGTATGACCCAGCCATTATATTCTCTAGTTTTTTATGAAGCCATTGACTGTCGTAATTTTGATTTCCTCCTGTAAATGTTTGTTGAATTTTTTCTCCATAGGCCAATTCTCACATTCATGCGTAGGCTACATATCATTTTCTATATTTTATTTTCAAAATGATTCAAAATTCTTCTTTTAGTATCTAAATATAATCATTGCCCGGCACTACAGGACTTATAACGATTGAGATTTTCGTGTATCTATACAGGTATTTCTGTCGGTCGGTTGAGTACGACGAGCAGATCCGCCGGTGCATAATATTCGAGGAAGACTCGATGTCGCAGAAGGACGACCTCAGAGTGAGCAGTAGCCCCACGCACGATCTGTACGATCTGGTCTGCCTAGACAACCGTAAGTGTCAATAAACCGCTTTGTTTAAGGCCCACCCCGTAACAATCACCTACCCAATGTGTGTGCGCAAATTTCTAACAAAATATCAGGTGGTGATTTGCTTACAGCGAAGGGCAACGAGTTCTCGGACAACACGCTAACGTCGCACCTATTCGCCGACGGGCGCAGGCCCGACACTGCGTTCCAACGATACAGGAATAGCAGACTAGGCGGAGAATTCCATTCGGAAATCACGGGACGGTCGTTGAGCGAGTGTTTGGACGAATGTCTGAGGCAGGTGAGCTTCCAGTGCCGATCGGCCGTATACAGCGAACGGTTCAGGATTTGTAGACTCAGTCGTTTCAACCAGAGGGACGGACACCGAGTGATATACGACGCCGATTATGATTACTACGAGAACCTGATGAGTGAGTAGCGGTGAAAATGTTACCAATTATTTTATCTTAAATAAAACAATGCGTTTTTCGTAGACGGAGGCGCTACTGCACCGCCGTTCACGAGACCAGATCCTTTGGGACAAGGTTCGAACTTTTTAGGCAGCGGCAAACCGCCGTATCCGACCCCGGGAAAACCCATAGGTAACGTATAGCATCTCTAACAATACAAAAGTGAAAAAATACAGTTTTTTTTTTTCTAAATACTCATAAAACAACAAATGGCGATAATAATTTAGGAGGCGGTTTTGGCGGTGTATACGGAGGAGGATCGTATCCCGGCTATTCAAGCACCGCCGGTAGCGGTATAGGAGGAGGAGGCATGAGTTCCAGCGTCGGGCCTTACCCGAGCGAAGCTCCCGCCGGATACTGGGGTCACGTCGGGGGTCACGGAGCGGACATTCCGCCGTTTTTGGGACAAGGAGCCGGTGGTATAAGCCCCACGAGTTACGGATTCGGATCCACACCGTCAATCGTCGGGTCTTCGATACCACCGTACACGCCGTCGGCCATGCCCGGTGGATTGCAGCCAATCGGTGGGTCGCCTATGGGACCTCCTTTGGGAATGCCCCCACAGGTGCCGGGATATTACGGCGGCGCGGGCGGTATGGTCGGCGGCGGTGGAGGTGGCGGCAACATACCGTTCAATATACGGTGTGACGATACGGACGGGTTTAAACAGGTAAAATTCCAAACGTAATATAGAAATAATATAACAATAATGCTGTTGCCGGTTTGCTTGAAACTTTACCGAACCCATCACTGGCTATCGGTTCTGTAAAAATTAAAAACCGTTTTATAGTTTATAATTATAAATGATATCGAATACAGCTGAATGGTCGGATTGCTAGGTCGTTGAACAGATTTCTGAATATTTTGTAAACATTCTCCTTATCGTTTAATTACAATTTTTGAATCACGTGGGTAAATACGTAATTCAACTTTTACGTTGCAAAGTCGTTCGATAAACTTATAATTAACATTCATTATATTATAGCATGGATATTACGGTCCTATTAAAATAATAAAATAAGTTTATGAAACGCAATAATAATATGTTCACTAACTGTAATATTATTATACCAAACCGATAGATTTATCAAAACAACAGTTTATAGAACTGTTTTCGTGTAAACCGGCATAGATATATTCGTGTTTACTATTATTTTTTTTTTTATCGTGGCATTGTCAATAATATCAAATATAGATGGGTGTGCGAATGAGGATGGCGAGGGGACTGATTAAACGTTTCATTACCGCGCCTACACTGTCGCATTGCGAACGCGAATGCGCGATGGCCAGAGATTTTAACTGCCGATCGTTCAACTACAGGCAAGTATAAAATGGTCTTTTATCCTAGAAAAAAAAAAAATAAATAAAACCCCTGAAAACGAATGGTCGTGTGTTGTGAGAGGAAATTCAATTACTTATTATTGTATAATGTTCACAGAACCGCGCCGTACGGAACGACGAGGGAAAACTGTGAGCTGAGCGACCAGGAAACACGATTCGTCGATATGGGAAATCCGGCGTTCTTCGAAAACGCGCCGGAGTACGATTTTTATGAAAAGACCGCTATGGGCAGCCGGAACAGTCAAGAATGTTTGGACGGTAATTATTTATGGTCTTTTTATCTATTTGCTTTAGATTCTGAACGAAGACAAAGTGAAAAATATATTGGTTTTACTATAATGGAATTTTTTTTTTGTATCTATAAACAACTCTTCAATCAGAAATCTTGTTTCAATCAAAAAGTTTATTAGACATTTTTGGTAAAAAAAATATAATTGATTTTAATTTAGTATTTCTTATTGGAATTTTAATATCAAATTTTAACGAAAATCGTAAATGTTATGGCTTTTTAAAATACGTACAACCGAACTTTGGTTTATCGTTGCGTATAGATATAAATTAAATTTCCCTTTATATCTTATATGTTCTCAACTTCTCATCCATAATAGTGTAGTTACAGTGTAACTACAACAGTTTATCTACAACACGTTTGTAGATTTATGGGTTACCACGGTAACAAGGGAACAAATACGACCATAATAATACTCTGCTTGGAATCGTTTTTAATTAGCAATGATTTATCGTTGCGTACATTATAGCCCCCTCTTCTAACTGTTCTCCTAAACCTGTGTCTCATCTATTAACTGTATCAGCTTCTTTTGTTTTTATCGTTTGTTATTTTATTGCAATAATTAATAATGAATTTATGGCCATATACATATAGTGAGTCAAGTGTGCAGCGAAGACGGTATGGAGTTCACTTTGCGTACGCCGGAGGGATTTTTAGGACGAATATACACGCACGGGTATTACGACAGGTGCTTTTACAGAGGAAACGGCGGTACGGCAAATGTTTTGCGGATCAGCGGTGCTCAAGGATATCCGGATTGCGGAACGCAACGGGTATAATAATAATAATAATAATAATAATATTCTATAATACCAGAGGAAATTATTTGATTTTGTTCAATATCGTCGTATCATAAATCTAATCGCTCATTTCAAAAACTTAAGTCTGCTTTTTCGAGATAATCAATAAAAACCACTATCTATAACCGTTTGTTTCAAAAATTGCAAAAATTGCTATAAATACCTACTTGAATACTCATTATTATAAATACCGGTGTCATATTAGCTCAACGGTGCACTGGGGGAGGGGAAAACAAATTTGTTATTTGTACATTTGAGGTTTCTACTGTAAATAATTTTTCTCTGATCTTGATTTTTTTTTAAATTTATTTTTAAGGTTTACATAATAAAAAAGAAGTAAGTTCATGATAAGACTGATTATATTTTTAATAAATAAAATTGCATTTGAAATGAATTAAAAAACCCTTTAAGTTGACGATTGATACTATTGACAATTAATGAAAAATCATATTCATTCGACGGCGCTTAGTGGGTTTCTACGGTAAACCATTGGATCTTAATGGATTTTCCGTTCCCTCTTTTTTTTATAATATTTTTTTAAAACAAGCAATTTGATTATCCTCAGAACTGAATATCAATAAATTAATAAGTGACCAACAGTACGGGGGTTGGGTTCAAATTTCGCTAATTATAAACGCTATACTTTTACTACTCAGTTCAAACATACGATCGCTTAGTATAATATTACGTCACTGGTGTTTAAGTCTCATTACGTCTTTCGGGTTCATAAGTCATGTATAGTGTATATTTATAAATGGTTTAACAACGACGCGTATTCGGTTCGGTTCTAGTATGGCGACACGATGACCAACATTGTCGTGGTGCAGTTTAGCGATTACGTGCAGACCAGCCGGGACAAGCGGTATAACTTGACTTGTTTATTTCGAGGCCCAGGGGAAGCTGTCGTCACTTCGAGTTACATGACGGCAAAGTCAGTGCTACTTCACGTGAAATTACTAATTTAACTTAATTTACTATTTAATTAAAGAATTAATCGATCGATTGTCGTTTCCAGTTCCGGAAGTCCGATACCCATCGAATATCTGCCGGCGGAGAACTCGCTTAGCTCGCGTGTCCGGCTAATGATACTGTTCCAAGGCCGACCCACGCAAACGATTGCCGTTGGAGATCCACTGACATTCCGTTTAGAGGCGCAGGACGGTTACAACTACGCGAGCGACATATTTGCCACGAACGTCATCGCGAGGGACCCGTACAGCGGCAGGAGCGTACAGTTGATTGACCGTTATGGGTGAGCAATCGTGAATATATCCCGAATTGTATTGTTATATTATTTATTTGCGCATCGTATTATATTTGGTCCGTATTCCGATCACAGGTGTCCCGTGGATAACTTCGTGTTCCCTGGTTTGGATAAGGCTCGAGAAGGAGACGGGTTGGAAGCGAGATTCAACGCGTTCAAGATTCCCGAATCGAATTTCCTGGTGTTTGAGGCCACCGTTAGGACGTGCCGTGAAGGATGTCAACCGGTAAGTATATTGTAGTGTTGATGTCGAATCAAAATATTAGTTTTACTGACGTGTATTTTTTTTTCTTACAGGCGTACTGTACTCTGCACGCCGGCAGGACAGAACCGTCGTTGGGCAGACGTCGCAGGGATATAAGCGGTAAAAACCAAACGGCCGTGGATGACCCAAACAACAAGACAGCGGAAACCACACCGGGAGAAGAAGAAAAAGTGCGCCAAGTTATCGAGGTTAGTATGCATATCGATCGCGAACAAGTTTATACGACTCGCGTATTGAATATTGTAACCGATATTGTATTAAGATAAATCTTAAATATGTAGATAAATATAAATTATTAGAAACGTTTATCTAGATAAACATTTTTATTCAATATCTATCATAAAACAGAACTAAAGTAGTAAAAATGTAATAGATTTGGTAAACCTCTAGTTTTCACATAAAAGTTGTGTAATTTACCTTTAATTTATTTATAAAACCACATCAATATAAATAAAATATTTTACTTATTATTTGTAAGATATATATAAATTACGAATTAAACAGATTTATTTAAAAAATCCAATTATTTATTTTAGATAACTTATTTATTATTTATCTAGATAAGATAAAAAAAAACAAAAGTACATATATAGAAAAATTTACCCGAATAAAACACGATATTGATTATATTATTACAGGTATACGAGAGTCGATACGACATGCCACTGGAACAGATGACTTCGGAACCGGCCCCGCAGAGCATTTGTCTGACCAGTCGGGAATATTACAGTATGGTGTTTTCGCTATTTATGTTTTTGGTACTCTTGATCACCGTGTCGATGTCCGCCGGCATCTATTACAAGTAAGTTATTTTTGTTTGTTTGTTTTTTTCATTCGAACGAAATTATATAGTCTAATCGTGTATACGGTATAATATAAATCAGTGGTTTAAAAACTAGATTATATTTTTCGAGTAATTATAAAGCACATACAATAATTATTATTTATTATTGCATGGTCGGTATAATTCTGCCAAATGTCTGTGAAATGAATAGGGTACAATCAAAGTGATTGGAAAAATAATGCCCAAAAATTGTTATAATATAAACATTTACCACGTTTTCTAAGTTCTCCTTTTCCCATTTCCCTATATTTCCCTTTTCTCCGATAGATTTTATTTTTTTATCATTGTACTTCTTTTGCTGCAAAAATCGAAACGTGGCTATTTTTAACGATTTTATCCTTTGGTATCGTCATGCATTGACGACAAAACAAATGAAAGAAAATAGTTTTAAAAATTGGCAAATTTTGACATCAATGCAATTTTGGAGTATTTTTTTTTAGAAATAATGACATTGTTTCTTTTTTGAGCTTAGCCTTTAATATTTTAACTTTTCATGTATTTTTGGGAGATACAATAATTTTTACGTAGTAGATTATTTTTAATTAAGGGATATTACTATTTTAAAATAAGTAAAACATTGGGATTGTATAATTATGTTTAACGTTATCCATAATGACTAAATAAATATTTTTCACTTCTTTTGGGTTTATACCTACAAATGACAAATGACATTTAACGATGGCGTCGCGTCGTTGTCATTGATTTATGTACTGTACTCTTTGTATACGATTTTTTGACGTTTAAAAGTGTATAATGTAGAATATAGATGATACTTAAAATATTATTATAGACGTTATTGGCTACTGACGGCCAAAAACGAGATGGCTAACAGCAATTCTGGTCTGAGTGACAACATGACCAATGGTAGCGGATCTACAGGACGGATGTCGTTTTCCGGTCGTAGTTTCTTCTCCAATCTGTCATTCGGAAAACGCAAACCGTTCCTCAACATCAGGTGTGTACTTTAATATACGTTAATTAATTGATTTTTATTTTTTATTCATACAAATAATATATTAGAGTAAATTTCTTCCAAAATGTAATGATATTTAATCAAAATGATAATTTGTATTCCAAAACTCAACAGTTTGATAATGTTGTTTATTGTTAAATCTTGTTCCAAAATTCAACGTTGCCAACTAAATTTCCATCAAGTCCAACGTTTAATTTTACCGAATTGTCTGATTGATATCACTTATGTCCATTTTTCCTTACTTTCCGCGATTTAAATTAATGTCAATGCGCCTATATTATATTTGATAATATAGGGTAAATATTACATTATCAATTATAATAATCATATCCAACGCAGTCTAAATATTTTGATATTCAATAACCGTTCAACGAATCCATCGTTTAGTTGAATTTTGGAAGTCAGGTTATATTTTTTAATAGCAGCCAAAAGTGTTAAAAAAAAAACCTCTCTTCATATACAAATAAGTGGTTAGGTTTAATTTGTTGTTGTTGTCTGTTGTTCCTGCAGGGCTCCAGTGGAATCTATGGAAACCGGATCAACAAATCCAACGGCTATGATCGTTAGCGGAGGAGTAAACATCAACGGTGGTGGTGTCGGCGTCGGAAAAGGCTTCGAAGACCCGAGCGAACCAATTTACACGGATCCGTCGCTTTTCGAACGGTCCCGGAGCTTGCGCAGCATCGCTTTTTCGTCTTCGGGCCAAAACGTGTTCAAAAACGAAGCGTTTTGTCATTGATGACGACAGTGACGATAGGATGGTGACGTGTGCGAAACGCGAGTGTGATAAATAAATTTACCGCCGATTTTTTTACTATACTATAATATTATACTTATACAATAAAAACAAAGAAAATATTTGCATGTTATTTTAGACAGATGTTTTGGGTTCTTTTAATCCTGTTTGAATCGCAATATTATAATTTTATTATAAGTATAGTATCCTATTATAATACTACACATCACAAAGCAGTAGCGTATTATCTGGGTGATAATAGGAAGACATATATATCCTCTTGACCTTTTTCACTATCATTTACATACGACTACGTATTTTTCAAAATTCAAATCGTTTCACTTTTTAGATAGGAAAACCATAATTTTAATATGTTGGTATGTTATAGGTTAATTTAACCTATAGTATTAATATATCTGCGAAAACCCGAACGTATATACATTTTCTTATTTCAAACGAAACCTACATTCAATCCTGAACAATATTATGAAGAATGTTAGGTTAGCATACCTAAACAATAAATTAATTAATAATGATTACTTACCGACAGGTATATCTGATAGTCAAATACATCTAATCTTCAATTTCGTTGATAATTTTCGGGCAGATTGAATCGTAAATTACTTACAAATATATTAAATTAAATATTGAAACCTGTAGTCTTTTTTTCGCCTACGTTATAAAAATGTATAGATTTGATATTCACCTTCTTGGAAAATCTTAAATACGCCACTATCATTATAAACGTTTGGAAAAAATCAACAGAGACAACAGTTTTTACATTACCTTCTTATCTATCTATACTAATATAATAATATTATAGTATTGAATGTGTTTTTGTTTTTTTTTTTTTTATTTTATATAATATACTTAAATTTATATTATTTTTATTTTCATATAGATTTACTCGCTTTCACTTCTTATAAACTGTTTTGTAAACGTTTTATTTATATACTTGCAATTTGTATTACTTACATTTTTATAATAATATTAGTTCGGATTTGTCATAATATAAACCTAATAAGGCACATTCGAATCATCATCACGGTTTTTTTTAAAAGTTTTTTCAATTATTAAGTGGTAAAGTTTAGTGTTAATTTAAATGTTTTTTTCGCGTACGTAATTTTTAGAAAACAAATTAACAATACTTTATAGTATCGCACGCGTTAAATAATATTATAAGAGTTATAATATATTTATACTTTAAACATCACAACAGCATTTTCGATCTAAACTAAAATGTTTATACTATTACTAACATTGTGTTATTATTTTTTTTCTACGCATTTAACATTTTTTCACGATATTTCATTTGTTAATATTATTATTATTTTTTTTAGTTTTGTTAAGGTTGACGTCTAATGCATATATAGTGTTCGCCGGTCAAAAATCATCGGGCCATATAATACACAAACAAAAATATATACATTTTATAATTTCGGATACGTAAAATAAGAAACGTTAGTGATCTTACTATGCACTACTCCAATTATATTGTATTTTATATTATTCGGTTTTTCATTATGTCAATTATAGTTTTTTTTTAAGATATTTTGAGTACAACTATTTAAAAAAAAATTGAATTTTCAAAATTACGTTTGGAATAATTTATTTACGACTGCTCTTGACCGAGGACACTATTTTGACGTTACTATATAAAATATAATATTGTTTTTTACATTAATATTTATTATAATTATTATTTTTATTATTAGGTATAATATATAATTAATTGTTTATTCATCGTGTTGGTTACATATTTTATTATATTTATTTTATTAATACTCGAGTGTAATCGTCACAGTTATCGTCAATAAAACATTTTATTATCTTTAAAAATTATGTTTTTATAAGGTTTTATTATTTTATGTCAGATATAACATTTTTTAGCAATGGCGTCATTTAGAGGGGGAAAGAGAGAATTTTTACATTTAGAATTTTTGCTACTTAAAGTCCGAATTTCTATTGATTTATGAGTTTGGAAAAAAAAATAACAAAATATCCGTGATCAAATGTTCCATTTTATCATTGTCCGACAAATTTTAACAAATTTTAACGACGATCTTTAGTTTTTTTAAGTAACAGTATTACCTGGTTTCATTCGTGGACAGTTTAGTAGTTTCGTAGTAAGTTAGATTTACAGTAGTCCAGATTGGTATCACACTCAAAATCAGTGTGCTCAAAAACTACCTATGTGTTTCTTGTGAAAGATTGCTATAAAATGTCATATTTATTGTTGATAAAGCATCACTATCAACTGAACTCTGCTCAGAATCGCTTTTTCGTAAGCAATGGTTTATTGTTACTTACAGATAAAAATTAATTTCCCCTCTATATCCTAAATTTTCAATTTCTCACCAACAACAGTAGCTGTACCTATCGTGCAAAGTATATCCGTATAAGTATAGTCTTTTTACCCTTACTCCTTATACCTAAAATAATTATATACTTTTCTTTTTCAAATATCCTCATTTTTGAACAAATATTTGGATAGAGAATATTTTTCTAGAAATTTTGATATGTATAACACTAATATCAGATTTTACCGTATATGAGTTATAACCGTTTAAAGTTATTACTGGTGGGGTAGGGAAGGGTAATAAATTGCATGATTGCGTTCTTCTATAGCTATTAGCTATAGATGATCTTTAGCTAATTTTCAATGCTGAATAGTTTATATTAATTTTTTTTTTTATAATTAACGTGGCTAATGGAGGGGGCTACAATCTCCTTAGCCCCCTGAGTATGCCACTATAGTATATTTTAAAAAATTTTGACCATTTCCAAAATATTATACATACTACATTATTATGATTATACATATGATATTTCGTTTAGATAAAATACAATTATTATTACATGCGGGCACCTATATAATGTCACAGTATAATTATATACTGCACATTGTTATCGTAATACATGGGGATGAGGGGGAGAGGGTTCAATAATAAATAGAAGACGTATATATATATATATATAAAAAAACAATTATTATCGTTGTCGTTTTGCTGGACGAGGGAAGAGTGGCGTCAGAAAAATGACACTTCGTCGTATTCGTTAAAGCCGGTGTGGTAACCGCCAAAACGGACCATAAACTTGTTAAACACTTCGTAGTGTATGCGGCTCCGGTTCTTTTTTACGAAGAAATGATGGTTGGTACCGTGCGAGGCGGTGCAATCAACTTCGGCCGAGTACAGGTTTATCGTCCCAACGATGGCCGATGCGCGGATCTCGAACTGGTCGTCACCTTCTTTGATCACTCTGTAATGTGAATTAAAAAAAAAAAATTATAATAATATCGTCTGGACTGAAGAATAAAAATTGTATACAAGAACGTCCATAGGGGAGGGGGTGGACCTGTGTCTCCCTCCCGTTTTAGATAGTACACGTTTATATGAACACTCAATTATTTAAATAATGGATTTTACAATTTAAATTCAAAATTTACCTACGTATGTTTATTATTAATATCCATCCTGAAAATACTTTTTGATTAGTTGCAACTAGTGACAACTTTTTTAGTGTTCATAATGTAAATAAATACTGTGTTATCAATGAATAACACTTTTTTATATAATAAAAAAAAGTGCAGTTTTTTTTACTAACCCGTGATTTTGTAAACTATATGGCCAATTGTCTTAAAATTTGACATAGATATTCAGTTTGACCTCAGAGTGTCAGCGTAAACATGAAAATCACTCTGAAGACTTTTCATGAGCTTTTTGAAGTTCCCTTGTTCATTTATTCTAAGTTAAATTTAATAAGACTGTTGAATATCTAGAATTATCATTTATTTCAAAACCTTACATTTCTTAAAATATATATACTATTTTTTATTGTGGTGTTATTATATTATATTATATACATATGTTTTTTTTATTATGTCTTTCTTTTAATTTTAGATTCTGAATGTAGCGAAGAAATGGAAAGCTGTTTATGAAAATTTCAATCTATTTATTGAAATTCATTTGATATTAGTATTGATTTTATGGACTTGAAATTTGGACTGAAACTTATATTTATCTTTTTTGAAAAGTTAAAGGAGGTTCATTAAAAGTCTTACATAGTGGTCAGAAATAAAACTTGAATTGAATGAAGTATTTTTTTTTTTTGAAAAGAATTTTATATCAAATTTTGACGAAAACTATTTGAATACAAAATGATACGAAATAAATCTAAATTTAAAAAAAATAATTAAAAGAAAAGAAAAAGTATTTACAAAAAAAAAAAAAAATAAACATCATTGTAAAACCAACACATTCCTGCCTTCGCTCAGAATCTAAAAAAGCAAATAAAATAAAATAAATAACTCAATAACAACGAAATTGTATATAAATATTATTTTTTTAAAACTCTGGATTTTCAACCTCCTGGTGATCGTGAAAAATCTTTAGGGGGATTTTCATGTTTACGCTAACACTCTTGAGGTTAATTGAATACCTATGGCGAATTTCAAGACAATCGGTGTAGTTTACGCGATCACGCGTTAATAAGAAAACTGTCACTTTGTTTTATTACGTAGAATAATAGATTGTAATTTTGTTTAGATTTTAAGATTTAAAACACGTTGTAAAATGTTAGATTTGAGCCTTATTAAAAATGATGAAACCTGTAAATACGGCTTTGCTCATAACTACGATTCACGTTACTGCCCTAAAAATATTCTCCAATTTACGTTTTGGGTTGTTCTTAGTTAAATTCTGTATTATAATATCCAGAGCGATCCATTTAACCGTCTATTTTGAAAAGTATTAAAAGCGATATTTTTTATAGGGCTCCGCTATATATCACATAACCCAAACATAAAAGTGAAATATACAGTCAGTGGGTCGACGGAAATCAAAAATGTCAACGCCGCGAAATTTATTTAAACTAACACTCTATTTGTGGAATTTGTTATATAGGTTTGGAAATCAAAATACAGTCAGTCGTTTCGTCCGTAAACGAAATGGTTAGAAGAAATAATCATATAACATTAAAGCAGCCGCTTGTTTTTTTCAAATTATCGAAAAAAAAAAAAAAAAAAAAAATTTTGAAATTACGTTATTTTTCGTTTTTCAAAGTCACGGGCGTGGCCGCCTAAATGGACCGCTCGGCGTTTTAACGTAAACGTCTAGACTCGCTCGTATCATTTCGCGTGTGCTCCTAGTACCCGTACCCCATGTCAAACATGGCTAAATTTTCTCGGATCCTCGACTCCACCACTGACGCCGCCACTCGTCCGACCGTCGCGGCGGAAATACCCCCCCACACACCCTGTCATCGCACAGGCACTACGCACACCGCGGTTTCCACATGCGCTCCTGGTACCGATATTACGTAATTTTCCATCGTAGTAAACGTGACCGACAATTAGTTTTCATTAGTTTTCATCAAATTGCGACAACGTATTCGCGCTCCACGCGTAAGTAATAACTTATTAATAAATAACTTTGTTGACCTTTAATTTCATCAGTATTATTTCACATAACTTTGTTTAACAATCCATATTGATTCAGACAATTTGGATCAAATTCAACTTCTTAAAATAACGTTAAATATAGGAGAAATAGATTTGTGGCTTTCACGAACCTAGCGGATACGCCGTCCAATTCGCTTTTAGCCGTCGATATAATATTGTAAAAATATTGAAAAAAAAAACTGCTTAGGATAATAGGGACGGGTGCAGCCACTGTTCTAGGTAATTTAATGTATATCTGTTAGCAACGATTAACCATTTTTTAACGAAAATACGATTCTGAGCAGAGTTCAGTTGATAGTGATGCTTTGTCAACAATATATTATATGCCATATTTTAGTAAAATAATTAAATAGGCTCTATATATTTTGTTAAAAAAAAATATTTGTTTAATGTTGTACTGATTTCCTTGGTTTTCCTATGTTTTTTCCAATTTTTCACATTTACTGAGAAAACTCCGGAGAAAATCTAAAAAAGACCTGTCTAAAATATCTCCCCAGTTAAATTTCCTCTTAGAAAAATTGCTGTCATTATACGTTGGAACAAAATTGCTGATAGAAAAGTTGTCCACAGAAAAAAAAAATCGTAATATTACGTAAAATAACCTCTTTGAGGTACCTACTCACATCAATTTACTTTCAGAAAAGGCGCTACAAGTAAAAACCAGAGCAAATTCTATGGTAGAAAAGCATTTCACAGAAAAAAGAAAAAATAAACATCTTTGTAAAACCATAAGCTTCTTCGCTTCACTCAGAATCTAAAATACTGGTATTAATAATATGGTGCAATTTTTGGAGGAATTTTGAAAAACAAGATTACATACATTGTGATTTAATTAACTTAATATATCTGTACGCAATGATAACCGATAACTAACGAAAAACGATTTTGAGTAGAATATTATATTATTATTTGTATTTTTTTACGTGCTGCCAAGGTAATACAGAAATCTACAAAAATGATTAAATTTTCCGATTTATTAAAAAAAAAACAATCAGGATAATCGAAAAACACACAAACTAAATCGAAAATTGTACAAGAAAATTCCTATTAAGTTTCTCATTTGAAACAATATTTCCGATAGAAAATTTATTTACAAACACACAATTAAAATAGATACACAGTACAGTAAACCAATACACTCTCGAATTCTTGCTTCACTCAAAATCTAATATCATTATGGAATACTAAACAATTATATAAGTTGTACTTAATTGATTTCGATATTTGACTGAGTTGACGACGAAACTTCCTTTTACAAATTCGGGTTTCATTCTTGTATAAATATTTTATTAAAGAGATAGATAAATCCCAAAACGGCTAGTTTAACGGGACAAGAAATACGATCGAAGTACTTTCATTCGAGAAACCAAAAAATTATACTTTATTAAAATGTTTAAAAGTATTAAACACAAAAACGTTGTTAAAAATATTTATACTATTCAAAATACCTATTTTACGTGACATAACAAACGGACGTAGGGAAAGTTTTGTCTCGAATTGTAAAAAATCCGGTGTCGCTCATATTCGCGCCACACATACCGTGATATTAATGTGATGTATTATTTTTTACAAGATATGATACAAAAACGCGAAACTTTAGAGTCGCTCGATTTTTAAATTGTCAAAAAAAAAAAAAACAATTTTGAGCGTGGCAGCTTAAATGGACCGCTCGGCGTTTCAACGTAAACGTCTAGACTCGCTCGTATCATTTCGCGTGTGCTCCTAGTACCCGTACCCCATATCAAACATGGCTAAATTTTCTCGGATCCTCGACTCCACCACTGACGCCGCCACTCGTCCGACCGTCGCGGCGGAAATACCCCCCCACACACCCTGTCATCGCACAGGCNTGGTACCGATATTACGTAATTTTCCATCGTAGTAAACGTGACCGACAATTAGTTTTCATTAGTTTTCATCAAATTGCGACAACGTATTCGCGCTCCACGCGTATCAACATAATAATATTGGATCAGTCGAAATTCGATTTAATTCATTTTAATCTTTCAATTTGCACGCACGGTGTTTTTCACCAGGAATATTGTTCCGATAGAAAAACAACCGGAGACTTTTTCGATGAATATTTAATATTTAATCTATTCGGGCTGTAGTCCTTTTTCGATTTTATCTGTATTTTTTATTTTTATTTAAATTCAGCAAAACCAAAAAACACACGTAGAAAAAACCGGAAAACGTACGAGAATAATTTGTACATTATTTTCAATTTTGATTTTTTGTTGTCATTCAGTTTAAAATATTCGTGGAGTACAAGAAATACGATCGAAGTATTTTGATCCAAAATTGCAAAAAAAGAACAAAAAACAAAATAATAATACTAAATAAAAATGTTTCGAATGTTTAGTGAATATAAATAAATATATATTTCCTAACAAATTACAACACTGCATTGTCAAAAATAATTACATTGTGCAAAATACCTATTGACTACTTTACGTAGTAATTTTACGGTACATCGCAAACAGACTGCACCATGTATGTAAAAGTGTGTCTCAAATCGTGAAATCTTGTGTTGCTCATGTATTCATACCGTGTATACCGTTATATTAAAGTAAAACATATTTTCTAATCTTGAAAAATACGAAAATTTTATTTTTACTGGCAGTCTATTTTATTTTATTCTGGTCTTTTTCCCGGCCTCACTCTTTTTGTGATTCAAAATTTCATGTTACGGTAGAATGTTCGCATAAAATATTTGTTTTTCAAAAACGGGACCTATGTAAAAAATTTTTGAAATCATATATAATTTAAAATCCCTTTTCAATCTTAAGTTTAGGTAAGGGGAAAGTATTTAGTGTTACGGCACGGTTTGTGGTGTTTAAATAGTATTCCACTACTACAATCTCCTTATTCAAACATAAAACTGGAATATATCGTCACCGGATTTACGAAAATTAAAAATGTCAATACCGAAATGTATTCAAACTCAAACTCCATCTATGATTCTAGTTAAGAACATACTAATGGCGTTAAAATTATGCCTCTTATTCGTGTACTATCTGAAAAATTAACTTTGCGTGTAAATTTAACCAATTTATAAAATTGCATTTTAACAAGTCAAGATCTCTTGCTAAAATGATCTGCGAACATCTCAAAATTGTTCCTTTTGATTATACCCGTTATCATAGGCAGTGTTAAATCCAGGTATATGTCAGGGAGGGTGATAGCCCCACCCCTTGGAATTTTGTTTGCCCCCCCCCCCGTCAAATGTAGGTAAATTCATAATTAATTAAATTATTAAAAAAAATTGACTGGTTTTAGTAAAAGGGTAGATAAGCAAAAAAAAAAAGAAAAGACGTCCTAGGGTAATAGGGGTGGGTGCAGCCACTGTTCTAGGTAATTTAATGTATATCTGTTAGCAACGATTAACCATTGCTAAGGAAAAAACGATTCTGAGCAGAGTTCAGTTGATAGTGATGCTTTGTCAACAATATATTATATGTCATATTATAGCAAAATAATTAAATAGGCTCTATATATTTTCTTTAATAATATTTGTTCAATGTTACACGGATTTTCCTAGTTTTCTTAAGTTTTTCCTGTTTTTCCTTAGTTTTAATTATTTGGTTTTTCAAATTTGATGATAAAACTTCAGAAAAAATCGAAAAATGACCTCCATAAAATACCTCCTTACACCAATTTCCTTTCAGAAAACATGCTACACTTAAAAATTTGAGCAAGTCCTCTGGTAGAAAAGTTACACACAGATAAATTTATTTATTATTTTATTTTATTATTTACTTAAATGCTTATACATTTATGTAAAACTATAAGTTTCTTCGCTCTACTCAGATTCAAAAAAAAAGGGTCATTACTATAATTTTAATAATGCCATCCCTAGAAAAACTATTTGTATTTAATACTGGTTTCCTTTGATGGAAGTCCCCATTTTAACCGATTTACCTAACTTATAAATAACATTTTGTAATACCTCAAAAACTTTTCGTAGTGTTAGAAAATTTAATTAAATTATTTAAAGCCATTAGTGGGGGGGACTTTTGAAATCTTCTAAAATTTTTGCTTTTTTAAATATTTGTAAGCGCTTTCACAGGGATTTTTTTGACGTTTCATAGCGCCTTTTTGTAGATTATACGAGAATATAAAATATTAAAAAAGACGAATTTAATATTAAACTAAAATTAAAATAAATCATTTCATGGTGAATGATAGATAATATATTAGATAAGGGATTTTTATGGTATAAAATCTGGAACGAAAAAAAAAGAAGATATCTAATATTTCTGGAATTATTAAATAAAAATAAATTCTTTTCTTCAATACACAATTGTATTATATTAGAAACAACACTATTATCAATTACACGTAGAAATGAATTTGAGTTTTGATGAGTGAAAACTTTGAAGGTTTACATTTAGGTTTAAATAACTTGTTAATTTATTTTTATATTGAGTCTTCTTCATAAAAACTATATTTTCGTTTTATATTAGTTCTTTTGAAAAATAAAAATATGGCTTAGCAGTAGTATGACACAACTATGCTTCAATGGCTTGGCATTGATGTATGTGTATATACTGTCCATAGTGATATCGTAAAAAAATAAAAATTTTACATTGTAGAGCAACCAGGCTATTTTATATGGAGCCTAGACGTGTGCAATTTTTTTTACACCATGAGTATACAAATTTGTTTTCAATAATTTCCCTTTGTATATAATATTTATAACATTTTATACTTTGATAAAATTAATATTTTTTATCACATAAAAACATATTATATTCAATTCAATAGTAAATGTAACAATATTACGTTATAGTAGACAAGAAATCAATGCATTTTAAATTCTGAGTTTAGCGAGGAATGTTATTGGTTTTATTATGTGTTTTTTTTTTTTGTACCTGTAGGCAACTATTCTTCCAGAAATCTTGTCCCAATCAAAATAAACAAATTAACATATTTTGTTGCTTTTTGAACATAGTTGGCGTATTAAAGGAGTTATTTTTTGATTATCTAAGGGGTTTTCATAATAATTTGGGGGGGGGGAAAGACAAAACATGTGATTTTTTTCTAATTACGGTTAGCTATATTATATATTTATTTATATTTGAATAGTTTATGTTTTCACCCATAAATATAAATTTCCCCTCTTTTACCTACCTAACTTCTCGCCTACAAATGTGACTGCACCCACGTGCGAAGTATGTCCGTTATTTTTTTTTTTTGTATAAGTTTTAAAATCAAATTTTGACAAAAATCGCAATGATTACGGCTTTTCAATACTTGTATAACCGAATTTCGCTCAGAAACGTTTTTCATTATCAATGGTTTATTGTTAATTACAAACATAAATTAAATAAATTTATGTATCTCTTTTTCCCCATTAATTATCTACAACAGTGGCTACATCCGTCTCCAGTACTAATTCTTTACTATTTAAGTTTCCTACCAAAAGTCTTGTTCCAATCAAAAAATAACAAGAGGCCTGATTTGTTAAATTTTAGTTTTAATTGGTTAGTAAAAAAGTACGGTGTTGATTTTATTAACATATTTAAAAATAATTGGGTAAAATCAAAATAAAAACTTAGAAAATACGAGAAAGCTTTCGGTAAAAATTAATTGTGATTTTTTGATTGGAGCAAGATTTCTGGTGGAAAAGATAATTCGTAAAAATCAAAAAAAAAAAAATCAGTAACGCAGCGGTGCGTCTTAAATATTTGTCCGTATTTCCTATAAGTTTTTTTTTAGGTTTCCAAATTATTTTGAAAATCAAAAAAAATGTCTACATCAATGCACCTTCGCTCCACTTAGAATCTAAAACAATAAACATCATAGTAGAACTAATACATTCCTCGCTGCTCTCAGAATCTAAGTAAGAAAGTTTATATACTTTAACGTAGTTACCTGACGAAACCGTGAACGTTCTCTTGTATAATGACAGTGTTGTGCAATTTCCACTCGGTACCGGTTTCTGAAACTTTGGTCTGGATGTCGGAAAGCAAATCGTTGCATACATCCACATACATGGGGCCATGACGGCAGTTTTTGTACAATACATCCAGCGTCAGGTCGTGCTCCATTCGCATGAAATTTTCAGAGAAATTCGTCCGGACCCCGGCCTCATCCACCAGGTACACCAATGGACTTTTTGCCGCTTTGAAGTGGATGCCAGTTGATCTAATTTTAGCTAACCTTGAAAAGCCCATCGTAAACATAGTGTAATTATAACTTAAAATATTTAATTAAAACACGCGAATTTTTCACTATTTAATTATGATTAAACGATAGTAGTGAAAACGTGAAAATGTAAGTCTTAGATGTAAATCTAAGGTACAGAAAAACATAAATAAATTTACATTAAGTAATAAATAGTAACAAATTGGTCAGATAGTCATACATTTTTTTATAGCAAAAGGTAAAAACGTGAATTTGTAAAATAAAAAACCCTTTATAAAATATATATTAAATAAAAGGGGAGTTATATAATATCCCTGAGGAATCTCCGAGCTCACATTATTGAACAGGGATTTACATTTCTTTATTTTTACTATTGTGTTTTTCTCTTGATTAAGAAGCTTAAGCGCTTAGCTAAGGATAAAAAGGGTTACGAAAAACTAAATAGTTTGGTTGCTAGAGTGTTATGATCGACCTTGTCGAAGGCCTTAGCAAAGTCTGTGTAGGTAACATTAACCTGGCAACCCAATGAACGCTTCTAGGGTACATATAGTTTTGAAATATTAACAGAGTAAACAGAATTTTATGTTACAGCAGTTTTATCCTATAAATATATAAAATGGAGAAAAATATATAATTCAATAGTTATTTGATTTATAAATATCAAAAATAATTTGTATATTTTTTTTTACTGTCTTTTGTGATAGGGTTTGCGGGTTGACTTTTGGAATTAAATTAATGAATTTTGGTGTTGAAACTTTTGATTTCCATCCACCTGTTGATGAGTTCATCTTTTTTTGAGTCTAAAAGCGCATATTGATTTGTGCTTCTGTACCTTAGTAAATAGTAGGTAATTGGATAAAAATGCAAAAGTTCGTTGTATTTTTTGATATAATACTGTACATTTGATTTTCAAATTTGACTCTTATTATATTTAATTCTCAAATAAATAGTATTTTTTAAAAATATTTATTAGATATAAATAATTATAAATATTATTTTTATATTTCAAAAACAACAGTTATTATGTTCAGTAGATGTTTAGTTTTATTTCGTTGTATTTTATCGTGACAAATTACGATGATGGGAAATTTAAAAGCTTAAATAATAATACCTAATTTTAATAAAATACACTTTACTTTTATTTTAAAATTTATTTGCGCTTATGGGTTGTTAAAAAGGTATTTTTTTTGAGATTATAGGATTTTTATTTTTCTGTGTTTAGGTTTCGTTTGAGTCCTATTTTGTATTTATGGGCTACAGTTAAATAATATGTAATAAATAAAAAGACAAGGGGTTATATATGTCTTTTCTGAGGTGGAGTTGGACGTTTCTCTTCAACCGATAATAAACTATTATAACCATAACCCACGTGTGCATAATAATATCTAACTTGTGATTTCCGAGGCGCATGTCGTTTGCTTGAACATTTACGATTTCGTTTTTCTTATACATAAAACCGACCGGATGCATAATCGCCGAAATACTGCCGTTCGGGTTAACAGCTGCGACAGCGTTTGCCTGAAAATATCGCGTTGCAACAATAATTTGTTTTCGTTTTTTTATAAACCGATGCTATTAATAGAATGTTATACGTCAATACCTGCATCTAATAGTTTGTCTAATGGGCAACATAACGCCAAGATTACGTTACTTAGAACGTATATTGGGACGTGTATGTTAAAATTAGAGTTTAAACAAGGAAATATTTTCGAGTGTTGTAAGTAGCTTTTTTCTATTGCCATATGAAAAAATTATAACAATTTTAGTTTTTTTTTGTATGGTACTTTTTTTTTTTTATAAAAAATCCGTATAACTTTCAAAAATATAAAATTTCTTTTTCATTTTGCTAGAATTTCAACCATAACACTACAATTTACGTTCTAGCTCACATAGCGTTGTATATAACGAGTGTTTTGACATCGAATTGAAATGTCTAGAAAAACATATAAGGGCTGAATTCAAAATTTCGAGGGCTCGTAGGGGCCTAGAGATTGCGGAATTGTACTTGTAAATTCTTGCTCATTACATAAAAAATACTGGTACTATTTGGAATTCGTTTTGACAAGGCGTAAGGGCCAACTTCACGTACGTCATTGTAATATTGTTTAAATGTTTTAAATATTTTAATTTACTATTATTTCCATAGGCGTGTACTCACAGGGGGAGGGCGAAGGTGTCATGTCCCCCCATGACATTTTTTTTCATGCATTTGTTTTAAGTTCCCGGGTAGTTTCGGCTTTCTCGGGAAGAAAAAGGTAGTGATTATAATTGTATTTATAATTATTGTATTTGTAATTATAATTATAATATTTTAATTTTTAGTCACGTTAGTTATTATCATACATTTATGCATATAAAATATGTTTAGTAGATACTATAGTAATAGTAATTATCTATAGATAGTGCATAAATACTATATAAAAAAAAGGATACCAATCAATGGACATCATAATATTTCAATCCATTATATTCTAATAACTATGTTATAAACGCGATTATTGGCCTATTAATATGTTATCAATAGTATTTACAGTTATGCAGTTTTTAGCTATGGTATAATACAAATTTTATATTAATATATATGCTTAATTGCTTAAATATGTTTAAAAATTTCATATTTTATATTATAAACGATATAAGCTTATTTGTGAACTGTACATTAACAAATGTTGATAAATTCGCTGAAAGTTTAGACTTTATTTCAGATAAAAAAAAATCCGTTCTTACTACCTTGTACCTTGTGTACATAACTTTTGTCTTTTACTATTAAGGCATTTAGAAATATATGGACACCATTTTCCACATTTAAGTTTCCTTTAAATGAAAAAATTGAAAAAAAGAGGTTTAAAATATTTGGATAAAACACTAAATTATCATATATGTGTACTAACATTGCAATTTGTAAATACTCCTAAAATATTAATGTATTTACCAATAAGTATATTTTGTATATTTGTGTATATGAATATCAACAAGATAAAATACATTTCATCCTCCCCCCCTCCCATAAGAAAGAGGTGAGCACGCCACTGATTATTCTACGTAAAAATAACATTAAAAAACATTGAAACACTATTATATGAGCAAAAAAATATCATAATATAACATAATATAATATAATATGATAAATAACAAATGTTTACAAACATTTAATAATTTTATTCAAGTAAATAATTAAAAAAGATCCTTGAAAATATATGTTAATCATGGCTACGTATAAAAATTAGTAGGTTAGGACTTTAGGAGAGCAGTAAGATTAACCCACCAAAAAACGTTCATGATAATGATAATGAATTAATGAGAGATAAGAACGTAAATCATGATACCATTATCCGGTAACCGGTGCTACATTTTGTAACCGTAATGGTTACATTAGTTCTCTTCCGTCACAGATGAACAACATAGAATGATCCATCCACTATTTATCGAGAGATCACAGTTTTTGAAATATTATCATTACAAAAATACTATTTTGTGTACCTTCGATATTGGTGAGTTGAATTTTAAGATAGAAATACAAAATTACCGATGTTATACAACATTATTCTACAAATGTTATACAACAGTAATAATAGGCTTTTATCTCTAATGCCGATTTTAAAAGTCTTTTCGTTTATGTGAATATGCGATTGCTATACGTATTGCTGGTTAGAAAAAATACAGACATATTATGAAAATGCGACCTACTATCGTGGTGACCTCTAAATTAATATTATTGTTTTCTTCTTACCGACTGATTAGAAACTCTGACCGATCCATCGAGCGTGAGGTCCACTGAAATACCGTTGTGGAACTGAAACGATATCGTGCCCTGTTTGGTAGTTTTAACAATGTCACCACAATTACTGTTATTTAGTTTCTATATAAAAAAAAAGACAGATAAAAGAAAAATGCTTTGATAATAATAAAAATAAAAACACTAGACTCGCGCGCGGACAACTGTAAAGTGACCGCTCAAGTTTGCTCACTATAGTTATCGTCATCACACACGAATTTCGATGAATTTGTTAAATATGATAAATTATATTATAACTCGAACGAATCTCTGGACGGTGAAAAATATTTCCAAAAAAAAAAAAAACTTGTATTCTTTTATTTTTCATTCGTGTGTACCGCGATGTGTGACGTGAGATATTATTTATACATTAATACACGTAACCCTAACGATGTAATTTATGTAGGTATTATATTATTAATAAGTAATTATGTTATATAGCGACCGGAAAACGTCGTAAAAATAATAATAATAATAAAAAAAGAATTATTTAAAACGAAATATAATTCTGAGCGAAGTTCGGCTGTACACAGAGTTTACATACAAATTGTTATAATGTTATGAAATGTCGTGATTTTTACGATATTCGTCAAAATTTGAACTTATATAAAATAAAAACTATTACATTACGCTCAACTTATTATTATTTTTTTACTATAAGAACAACATATAGTGAACCTCATCATGTTAAACTTGCTAGCATTTTTATTAGGTCAAAACAATCTTATCCACATAAACCAAATAAAAACCGATGAGGTAAAATGTCTATAAATGTTTTTAGAAAAGGCTAATGTAGGTATTTTGTGAAAATGTCAGGTCTTTGCGATTATTTTTGACCGAATCGAAAAAAAAAATTATAACTGTTATCGCCATGAATACTCCTGTTTTTCCTACACTTTTTCTCGATTATAATTAGGAAAACTACAAGGGAAATGAAAAAACGACCTTTTAATGCATCAATTAGACAGGATTTTTTCCAGGAAAGATGTTATCCATAACAAGATTTCCAGTGGAAAAAATTGTTTACAGACATAAAAAAAAATTAGTTGTGCCAAAACAATTTTATCCGCATAGATACAAATATATCTAAATTTCTTTTTTTCTTGCTGACAGTGATCTGTCATGGGTAATAAAATATTATGTCTGCAACTTGTACACTAGTGATTTGCAGGACGTAATAAATTATTCTACGAGAAGGTATACCTGATAAGAAAATTAATATATTTCTTGATAAACAAAAATGTAGGTCCGGTTTGAACATTACGATTTTATAGTGTGTACCGGCTTGTGACTGCAGTTGCGGGCTCTACGACGACGCCAATAGTTTATAATATTTCAACTCAAATAAACCGTTCAGGTCGAAACCGACAAAAAAATTCGAATTCACAATAGGATAGTAAATATAATTCATTAATATTGTTTAAGCTGGAATTTCTCATCGACGGTTTGAAAAACAAAAATGTCAACTCCAAAATGTATTTAAACTAATACTACGTCTATTTGTAGCATTTTTATTACAGGTTGCTATTTGAAAATCAAAAGTAAGTAGCCGAGTTATTCACTCCCAAAAATAATGGCAATGCAAAATTTTAGAATATATGATTATAAAAGGTTTTTAAATAAACTATTTATTGAAAAATAAGTAACTCATGGACAGTTTGAGTGCAACAAGAAATTTGAAAGACCCTGTATTATAGTATATACCTATATGTTTCTCCCCGGTTTTTTACATTTGCTGGGAAAACTTTTGGGAAAATCGAAAAACAACCTCTCTAAAGTACCTCTTTAGTTAGATTTCCTTTTAGAAAAATTGCTATCATTGTAAATCAAAGATAGTAGAAAAGTAAGGTAAGTGGAAGAACAGTACTAGTCCAAAATACGATATTTCATTTTGTTTTTTGATTTTTTTTAGGAATAAACTCAATAAATGTAGATCTAAATATTGAGTTTAAGAACAGTACTAATCTAGCCGTCTTTTACTTGTCAACGGCATATTTATAATTTTGATTAGTGGAAAAATAGTGCTTGTCCTGTAATAATAATGTTTAAATAAATAAAATATATAAATAAATAATAACTGATTTGTATCAAAATATATATTTATGGAAGACCACCACCAACTTAAAAGAAAATGAATAATTTTTTAATGTCTCACTTCTTTTTTTTTTTTTAATTTTAAATGTTTATATACTTTTTTTATGAAAATGTAATAAGCTAAAGTTAATAAAAAATAAAATTGTTTTACCTATAATACACGTGTTTTACTTAAACTATCCATTTTATACTATTATTTTAAATATTAAAATAAGTTTTCAGAGAAACTATTAACAAAATATAATTGAGAAGAAAAACAGTACTTGTCCAATGATTTTTTAAATAGTTTTAAAATAAACAAAACATTTTTTATGATCAATGATTGTATTACAAATCATTAGGAACTATGTGAAAGGAGCCATAAGATTTCCTGGCTTTTACAGTCTATAGATTACAACAAAAATAATTTTTAAACTTTAAACTTAATTATCTCAAATTGTATTTTTCGTGTTCCAAAAAAAAATTGTTGCATTTGTTTTTTCCCTTTTATCTAAACTGGGAAAAAACATAGTCGTTTTAGGTGTATCTAGAAACCAAGCCATCGTTCGCTCGGACTATTTTAATTGAAAATACTCTTCGATTTGTTGTGCAAACTTTTCCACCATCTTGCTCCGATGTATCAAGTGTACCACTTTTTCTGAAAGGAAATTTTATTGACATGGTACTTAAAAGAAGTCATTTCTTGAATTTCTCTGGAGTTTTCCCAAAAATTTGGAAAAAACGGAGGAAAAATGGATAATGTACGAAATGAAGGTATTAGTAAAAAAACATTGCGGGATTTTTTTTTTTCCTGTGAACAACTTTTTAACGGTTCACCTACAACAGTGGCCCATCCACGTGCGAATTATGCCCGTCTTTTGTATTACGAATTTTTAAAATAATTTAACACGACATTTTACATAATAGTAAAAACACGTTTTAATCGGATGAAACAGTAGACTATTTTTTTGACCTCCGGTTACGTTGTCGGTCGACCGCCGGCGATGCTTCGCGATATGTTGCGCACCGCGGGCGATTCGGTGTGGTATCCGCCTGGCTGACAAATCGCACGCGGCGGTTGTGACGGTCGCGGTGGTGCTGTGCGGCCGCATCGTTATTGTCGTCATCGGTCACGCCGCCGACTCTGTTCCGGGCACCGGTCCTACTGCGCGACCGGCTCTGACTCCGGTCGCCGCTTTTACTGCTCGACCGGCTCTGATTCCGGGTCATCCGTCGGTTACGGTCCCACCTCCGCCGTTCTCGTCGCTTGCCCTCTCTGATGACCGTGGTACCGTCGTCGCTGTTAAACGTTATTGACGGGTACTTGTTCGATGTACTAGCACGGTGCCGCGGGCCGTCGTCGCAGTCCTCTTCACAGTCGGTGCCGTCACCGTAACAAGTACAGCGGCGGTCGTCTTTATTGGTGACCTCCGTTTTCTGGTCGACTGCGTCTGGCAAACGATGGGCCTCTTCTAGATTGTCCGCCACCGCTTCGACATTTCCTACGCTGCCACTATCGCTTTTACCCCCCTCACTCCCACCGCCCAGACGGATGAAGCAACTACAGCGTTCGTCACACACGTCACCGTCCAACGTCTTAGCTGGAGGAAAATCGTCCGCCGTGATGGATGACGTTGGTGACGTCCGGCCGCTGTGCTTTACCGTGATCGGTATGTCGTTGGACACCGACTGTCTTCCCCCCTTTAGTTCGTCGGCCACTAATTCAACTTCTTTTTCTTTTCTTGCGTAGTCTTCATCTTTACTTCCTGCGCTGAGGTGTATGAAGTCGCTGCTATATTTGACATCATCGTCGTCTCCGTTCACGTTAAGTGGGGGTAAAGCATCCGGCGCGGCCACTATTTCGGACCACAATCGCAACTGGTCCACTGCGGGCTCAGTATCGACGACGAGAACGTCGCCCTCTCTGACGTCTCCGGCGGAGTTCTGTTCGCTGACCGACATCGAAACTGAAGCAAATTAAAACGTATTGAAATCTACAATTGTTCTATAAGCTATTGTACACTACACAATTAAAATATTATCATAACAAGGATCGATCGTAGGTATATTATATGAATTTGTTACAAAAATAATTGACCGCGGTAACCGTGGAACCGACACCGCCGTTGTTTGGTCGTCACCGTTATTCCGGACCCATAAATCCGTAGTCAATACGATAAAATATATTTAGTTATATAACGTCAAAATCGTTTTCTCGCCTGTAAACAACTTTTCTGAAGTACCAACTAGAGCCAAAATGAAATAAAAAAGTTTTCTTGTCATGTTTTGAATGGAGCAAGATTTCTAGAAACAAGTTGACAGAAAAACTAAAAAAATACACATCAAAATAAAACCAATATATTTTTTGCTTCACTCAGAATCTATAACAGATACTAACTAAAATGTTCAGGTTTGTGTCAATGGTACGCGTGTTATAGTTAAGCAGAGTAAAACGCAAACAATCAAAAATAATCAGAAAAACTAGAAAAAAGCAATTTGTCGAAATGAGCTAAAAAAAGCACTTTCAAATTTCATATTTAAGACCCTTGTAGCATGACATGAGTTTCTATAGCAGTCTGCTAGATTTTTTTTGCCAAAAAACTAAATCAAAAAGCTTGACGCCGCGAAGGTTTAAAATATGAAATTATGTAGTACATGAGTTTCGGGGTGCACAATGTACCAACAAACCCCCCCCCCGTTAACTACGTGTAAAAATCTCACTAAGAAAAATAAAAATTCAAGTTAGAAACATTGTGATATCAAAAAGGGCCAAGTACTTTCTTAAATTCATCAGTATAGAAATCGTTTATAATTGTTGATGTTTGATGAAGTGCGATAATTGAATACAAATAATTTAACTTAGCTTGGCGGCTACTAATATTTACGATTATAAATAAAGATACAATGCGGACATAAATATTTACATCCCCATTTTATAATTTATCAATATTACCATATCACTATCCAAGTACATACTATGAGAAGCCAACAAGCCGAGTTTAGTTGTTTGTATTAAATTAACGCACTTCATCAAATACCAACAATTATAAACTATACTGATGAGTTCAAGAAATTACTTAGCCCTTTTTGGTATCGCAACTTTTCGAGATTGTTACACGCTTACACGTAGTTGACGGACGGTTTTTGTTGCGATATCACTAATTTTTTTTCATTGAAATTTTGGATATAGTTAACCTATGTTTTTTTTATCGAGTGAAAAATTGGGGACGAAACATCTTTGTTGTTTTATGGATTGCGTATATGATGTATAGCTATGCATATAGCTTATAATGAATGTTGCTGGAAAATGATATTATAGTAATACAGCGATAAAATAAATAAACAACACTGTTTTTTCTTCGCCGCAAACGGGCGGTAACAACGCGTACAACATAGTTGAATACATAAATTGTTGAATTGTTGACAAAAATAGCGTTTCGAGTAAAAACGATGCTAATACTTTTGCATATAACTCGGACTGTAATCATCCAATCAACTTGCAGTTTACAAGCGTATCATCTGCTTAACATACGGATCAACCCGCGTAAATTTAAAAACAATCAGTTCGTTCGTTTAGGCTACAGAGAGGTCGGAAAATTGCCGTAAAATTACACAGGTCAAATAGAAATTGGCCGTCTCGTGTAATACTACGGTTGACGCGTGAGCTTTTTTTTCGCACTTAGCTCTGCGACGCTACCGCGGCGCTAGATATATTGCTTTGCGTCCATATTGTTTTAGTATTCTTGTTATCATCAATGCGAAGTTTTATTATCTAAAAATATAAGAAGAATTTTACGGGTGTTGTGGATGCGTCAACACAGGTCACGGGATCACGTGCCGACGAGGATGTGTGGTATTATTCGTATTGCCGAATATGATACCACTACCATATACTAAAGGGTGGTCCAACCCTTTGTAGTTGGCGGGCCAATTTAAAATTTCATAAAAACACTGGAGGCCATAAAAAAAAAAAAAAGTGACGTTATTATTTATATTTTATTTTATATAATGCACATTATTACATTACAGATTAATATTAACACGTAATTAAATAGTATAAACTATACAATTTAAAATTTATACGATCGTATAACGATGTTATTATAATATTATTGTGATTTAGTTTTTAAATATTAAAAAAAAAAAAAAAATAACAATTTAATTGCGAGGAGCCATAAACAAAGGCTTCGAGAGCCGCCTATGTATTGTTCTAATATTTATTACATGTACATGGAATAAATTTTATTGTTTTTAATTGAACTAATTGAAGAATATAATAGATCTCAAGTCTCTGTGGCGTGTAAAATACAACCTTCATTTGTGTCAAACCAATGACCCGGTCCGAAAGGCCGACTGAAAAATCGGGTTTTTAAATCTTAAACCGCAAAATTTTTTGTAGTTTCCGTCCCCGATCAGAGTACTTAATTTAAAACTATTAAATGGGTGTTAGAGGCAAAAGCCAACATGTACATAAAATAAACAAAACATAATTAATTATTAAAAACAATTTTCCATTAAAATGACAATTTCAAATTAAATAGGTGTTATCGTGTAGTCGTCGTTCCTATAATCATAATAAACACACGTTGTGTTTTCATTATATTGAATAATAATAATGTTATATTTTTGTACACATTGTCCCGGAATCAATCTATCGTATTTAAATAATATCACTAAAAGTATTCAGCGTAAATTCCTATATATCCCCGTACAACTGTGCTAAATGAATAATAAATGGAACAAGCAGCATAAAATAAACACAAATTAATAATAATTTATACAAGCCCGTATTAGTCGGAATGTCTATTTTACATCTAATATTATTTTTTTATATTGTACGATGCGTGACGTAGATGTATTTCTATAAATTATGTACTAAATTGCAACAAAAGCACTTTTCCAATCCATTGTCAAAAAAATATATCCGAATATAATAATTGCATAACATATGATACCTATTCAATAAAATGGTATCCGACCGATGTAGTATTTCTAATTTTAATATTAACTATTATTTTTTTTCTGGCTTAATTCATTCCTTTTATGTCCATTGTCACTCCCACTACGCGCCCCTCTGCGCGGGCTTGTCCTTAACCAGGTCCATAATAAGTCGTAGGTACTTGTGATAAAACAAAAAAATTGTTTAATGTAGAATTTTTTTTTATATATATATAAGAATTTTATAATCAAATTTTGACGTAAATCGTAAATATTATGACTTTTAAAAACATGTATAACCGAACATCGTTCCGAATCGTTGTTCATTATCAATGGTTTTTCGTTGGTTCAGTGGTGGTTTTACACAGGGGGGGGGGGTCAGACTCCGAGTTTAGACTTTGAAATGGTTTATCGTTGAAAATTTTTTTTAAAAAAAAAAACGAAGATAATTGGAAAATTAATATGAGTTATAATTCTTTTTCTGTACACGTGATATATACATTACATGGAAATTATTATACTATTCATGATGCATAATATTGTGTATTCATCAAATGGGAAAAATTGGGGAAAAAAAAAATGGGAAAATTTAAGTAAAATTACGGTATTTTTTTTCTGTGAAAAACTTTTTCTGAAAGTAAATCGGACTAAGAAGGTAATTTAGGAAGATAATTTTTTGATATTTCCAGGAGTTTTCCCAATTAATGAGAAAAACGGGAAAATAAATACAATATTAAATAAATAATATTTAACAAAATATAATATAATGCATGTATAATTATTTTACCATAATATGGCATATAAATTGTTCATAAAGCAACACTATCAACTGGATTCCGCTCAAAATCGTTTTTCGTTAGCAACGGTTAATCCTTTCACACATTAAATCTTCCCTCCAATTTCGAACCGCACTCACAGTAGCTTTTAAGGAATTTTATATATGTAATTATTACACCATAATATGACACACGTCGTTGCTTACAGATATACATTAAATTACTTATAGCAGTGACTGAAAATACAAACAAGAAACACCTACAGTGTGAGTCGAGCGATGAATTTATCATTAGCGTTGAAAATTCGGAATGATAAAACAAAATGAACTGGCTGACTGATTCATCGTCGCCCAGCCGAAACCACTGGACGGATCGGGCTGAAATTCGGCTATCATAGATAGCTAATATGACGTAGGCATCCTCTAAAAAATGATTTTTGAAAATTCAACCCCTAAAGGGATAAAATAGGGGTTTTTAGGTGAATTTGGTACGAATATCTAATTGCTTGTTAATTTTTTTTTTGTTTTTTTAAGGGGGTTACCTATAGTGTTACGGAAAAGAAAACGATTGTAATTATTATTATTACTATTATTTACAATAATGAAATTTCACAACAGAACACATTTAGCCCGCCGAAGGTGGACTATCCACTTTCCACCTAATTGTTTTCATTAAATTCTAACTCGGCCAAAACCAAAAACGAATATAGGTATAATAATAATAATAAAAATCAACACGGGCAACGCTGGTCACGGGACAGCTAGTGGTAAAAAAAATAAACAAACGAATAACGTATTATGTTATCAATAATAATATTGTATAATATAGTCGACTGCGGGTCGCGGGCTACATAGGTTTAAAATCAGCGAACTTTTCAGAAAAAGTGCTACACACTTGATACATCGGATTAAATTGTCTATTCGGAAAAGTGTTAACAGACACAAAAGAAAAAAAAATAAACAAAACATACATCATAGTAAAACCAATAGATTCTTCGCTCCACCCCGAATCTAAAAATGAAAAATTTTAATTTTCGGGAGGAATTAATATAAACCGTTAAAAAAAAATGGAACAGTCGGTCTCAAAGCAGACTTGGCGTTAAATTCAAATCCGTTTCCAGTATACTAATCGCTTTGCAAGACCAATCGGTACGTTGAAAATTGAACTCGTCTAAATTCCTAGATCGCACGCGTGTAAGACACACACTGAAAAGAACCGCTTCCAATTCCCGCAAAAAACAAACAATAGCGTGTGAAAATGACGCATTATGAATTTAGATATTTATTTTGATGTTCGGGACACGAGTTAAAACGGTTTAAATGGTGAAGCAATTTTTTGATTCGTCAGACCAGGGAACTATAATAACACAATATTGTTTTGTAATGCGTCGGTTCCGTAATCGTATTACGGGATCCTCCGAAATCATTGATGCGAATGTAATCTGTCCTGTTTCTCGGCAAACGTTCGTTATATTTTCGGTTAGACAATTATTCTGTTGATTTTCGATTGGTTTTGGGTTATTTTCCTTTCTTGCCGCCTTTCTTGGCTGGTTTGGACGGCGGCTGCGGTGGTTGTGGCCGAAATTCCGGTTGCAAATCCGTCTCTAGATACTGGGTCGTGTTTTCCCGGTGCACGGGAAGCGAGACCCGGCACGGGTCCACCCGGCCCGAGCTCACCACGAACACATCGGCGTCGTCCTCGATCTCAACGTTCTCCGACGAACCGTCTGCCCCAGCCTGCGCTGATGGCAACGATTTGGATGCTGGTGTCTTCGTCTTGGTTGGACGGCCATCACCACCGTCAACCATCCGGTCGACGAACGCGGTTATCGGCTCGTCCATCCTGAACGGACACCGGGCCACCGGACAGTTAAGGTCGAACATGCACGGGTTGCGCGTCGTCTGTTGTTCGTTCAGTTCGGAGGGCGACGACGCTGCCGCCTTGGTGAATAGGTCCTTCATCATTTCCATAACGGTCAGCACGCACTTCACTTGATTCATTTCCTTGTTGCAAACGTCTGCCGAATAAAAATCGTATTGTAGTTGTAACATATTTTATTAGGTACTTATTTTAAAACTTCAACGCATTTTTAAAACGCCTTAAAATATTTATTTATTAAATTTATTAAATATTAAAATTTATTTTTTTTTAGATTTCGAGCGTAGCGAGGGAGCTATTGGTTTTACTAAGATGTTAATTTCTTTTTTTTTTCTAGTCTGTGGACACGTTTTTTCCTAGTAAATATTCTCTGATTTTTATGTGTAGTAACTTTTCTTAAAGCTTAAAGTTTTCTAGATGGTACATTAAAAGGTCGTTTATTGATTTTTGACCCCATTTTTTTATGTAAAAGCACTGAAGTGGGAAAAAAAATGTAGGAAAACGTTCATTTTCATGATTTCATTATTTTATAAAAACACGAACGTTTTCTACCAGAAAAAAATGATTTAATCGAAAACTCACAAAAAACTTTTATTGTTGCCTTTTTGATCTACTTTATTGCTAAAACTTTCGAGCCACTTTTGAAATTTTAAGGAATTTTAAGTTTTTGGAGTTTTTTGCTGTAATTCGATTATAAATACACGTAAAGACTTACCTAGACGTGGTAAAATTTCCAAAATCATCGGACGGCTTTTTTTTTTTTAATAAGTGTTTTGAAATCAAATTTAAACGAAAATCGAAAAATAATTATGGCTCTTCGAATTATGTATGCACTGCACTCGGAATCGTCTTTCGTCAGCATTGATTTATACAGATATAAATAAAATGACCTTATGTATCCTACCTTCCCAACTTTTCACCTACAACAGTTACTGCACCCGTCTCCAGTAACAGCTCTTTTTTTATATATATTTATATTATATAAAAGTGTAATAATATAATACTCTTATTTATTGTCATCTATATACCGTTTCGTCTATGTCAATTAGTCTGTTTATAACGCGTGATTATATTGCGTTCTTTGAATTTTATATTAATTAGCTAATGACCAACAAACAAGACGTACACATACGTACTAATAAGTGTAGTATGCGAGCAGTAAACTGAATTATCTTTAAGAGTTGTTTTGATAAATAAATAGATAATGTCGTTGTATTCAATTTGTGTGTATGAGGTGAACGCGAGGAAAGGGGAAGGACAGCGTTAGAGAATTTCTCGAAGACATTGGAGTGTACTGAAAACAGGCGTATAATAGAAAAAGGCGGAAGAATGTAGTTTTGGTGGCCAACAATATAAATGAGTCGCGATACTCATAAAAAAAACGTGGATTATCTCGTTAACGGGTTGTGGGAAATCAAAAATATCAACACCAATATTTATTTAACTAATAGTCCATCTGTTTATGGAATTTTCGGTATAGGTCGCTGTTCGGAAATCAAAATATAGTCAGTCGTTTAAGCCCTCTCCCCCTAAAATAATAAAAATTTAGAGTTGCTTGTTTTTTAAACTATCAATAAAAGACATTTAGAAAAAGTCAATACTTTTCAAAATATCGAGTGTGGATTACTTTGTATAAAGAAAATTCTCGGCGTTTTTAATAAATCTTAATTTAATATTTAAAAAATATAATATTCGTTTTCTGCCAACTTACAAAACTGAACCTGCTCGGTCTCCATAGGCGCTATAGGTTATATTTGTAAACGAGGAGTAAGATTCTCTCTCTTAACAGTTTAATAATCGATATTCTATACACACATCTACATACTTCGCACAGTGCAGTATGTTTGCAAGTAAATATATGGTATATATTACTGTTAAATATTAATACTAGTGTTAAAAGTTGCAATGAAATATTTACTAAATTGGCTGTTCAAATACACAGTACTATATGTTTTCAAAAGAAGAAGAAATTAAGGTTTCTGTATACTATTCAATATTGGACCATATGGTTAGTGGAATTAATATTAGATTTAATCGAAAACAATGTATATGATTCAAAGCATTGGACATTTATTAATTTTAAATATACATAACACTGACATTTCAGTCTTGTCCACAGCATTTAAATTCTGATATGTTAAAAACAGAAATTAATATTCTCAAACATACAGATAATATACTGAAAGATGTGAAGAGCAAATGTAGTGATTGAGTAAATTTGCTTACAGAATCCAACTATGGAAAAGAAAATATACTTTGTAATGCCAGTAAAGCATTGAACATATTTATGGTTATATCAATAACGAGTTGTTCTTGCAAACGATCATTTTCCAAGCTCAGTATTGTGAAAACCAAGTTACGAAGTACCATGACACAGCTGCTGGATGACCTGCTTACTATATTCATTGAGCGAGAATTGGCATATAATATAAAAATTGATGATGTAATTGGTACATTCGAACACCTCACTCCCGTGTACAGAAGAGAGGAGTTATAAATAGCTATGCAAATTAAGGATTTCTTATAAATTGTGTAAGTTGTAATAATTTTTTTTATAGGTATTATTAATATTATTATGTATTTTTAATACCTTTAAACAGTATTAATTTTTATAATTGCATACTAAATGAAATAAATAGGTACTTTATAAAATTTACAATTTAATATTTAATTATACTAGTAGTCATTAGAAGAAGAATCGTTGATAATTGGTTTAGACCTTTTTAATGTAGATCCCCTCCTACGAACCAAATCTATGCACTCCTATATTTGCACGGTGAGTGGGCCACTGTTATAGGTGAGTTTGGAAAAGTAGGATTTAAAAGGTAATTCAATTTATATCTGTACGTAACTGTAAACCAATGCTAACAAAAAACGATTTGAAACGGAGTTTTTTTTGTATATGTACATACATTTTCCCTTTCTTCCTACGTTTTCCCCGATTTTTCCCAATTATTATAAAAACCACTTGAAAAATCAAAAAATGCCCCGCATAAGTAACGCCCAGATAAATTTTCGTTTTAGAAGAGGTACTACACTTGAAATTCAAGATTTCTGGCAGAAAAGTGGTTCACAGATAAAAATTAAAAAAAAAAAAAATAACATCATTGTAAAACTAATACATTCCTCACTACGCTCTTAATCTAAAAAAATTAAATGAATAAATATTTTAAGGCGTTTTAGAAATGTGTTTTAAAAAAAGTTTTAAAATAAGTACCTAATAAAATATGTTAAAGAATATGCAATCCTTATTAGTAGTTAATGAAAAAAATCTCACCGTTGCCATCTTTTGGTTTCTTGGTCTTGCAAGTTTTTTTGGCTTTGCAGCATTTTTGCACGTGCTGACACTTGTCAACTAGACTGCTCTTTTTGCACGACATGTTGATCGGCACATACGTGTTCAGACCTTTGTAATTGTACTTTTTACTGTCAGCTATCCGCGAAAATTCTGTCGTCACGAGATCGCCATGCGATGTCATGCGGATCATCAATTCCACTGTGCCGACTGGCGTCGAGTGTCCGGTCTCGTACAGCGCCAATGTCTGTAGTGGTTATAAACAAAATAAATACATATCGGCGTAGGCAAAATAATAAAAATCTACTTCCCACCTATTCGTTTAGTAGACCACTTAATTAGGTGGGATAAGGCAGTGGTTTGTAATACGGTTTACTCTTAAGCAACGATAAATCCCCGTAATTAAAAACGGTACTGAAGGTGAACGCGGTGGTATTGGGAATGTCGAAATATATTTCATGTAAAGTACCGCCAAATGAGCATCTCGTATCTTTTGAAGTACTATATGAGAAATAAAGACGGACATACTTCGCACAATGGGTGGACCACTATTATTGATGAAAAGATGGGAAGGTAGGATATAGTGGAGAATTTAATTATAATCTTATATAAATCATTGATAGCGAAAATCGATTCTGAGCGGAGCTTGGTTAAAAGTATTGTTTTTTTAAACAATATATGTGTCATATTAAAACAGCTTGGGTCTCTAGGTATGGGCGTCTTTTGAAGAGGGGCAATAAGGGGACAAGTACCTCCTATAAAATAGTAAAGTATCAACAAAAAATGATTATATTCTTTATATCGATGATACTAACCATAGAGTTTTTCCTATCACTATATCAGTGAATGCGTATGATGTTCGTCTACGGCAGCCGGACGTGCCATAGCACAGGTAATAGAATTTCTCTATTATTTATATGCCATATAATAACAATAATAGTGAATTTTACATTTTATAGGTAAATGAAAATACGAAATTTAAAAGTGGTATTTAAAAATGTATTGATCATTGACATATTGTTGTATTTAGTTTTCAGTGTTAATTTATTTATTGTCTATTATATTATTTTCTATAATATTTTTATTGAAATGAGTAAATTGAAGAAATATATATTTACTCCAAAGCGTCAAAAACTAGAAGATTTTTTACATGCACATGAAGGTAAGCATAAATTATTATTTTTTATTAAACATTAGTTATTTGATATTGTAATTATCTTTTACTTATAATTATCTATTCAATTGTATGATGAAAACCATAAACAGTAGAATATTATAATGTCTTAATTTAATACTAAAAAGTTTTTTTCAAAGCTAATATTTACATAATTACATACCCTTTCTTCCTTATTCCTTTTCAAGGAATACGAACTGGCTGCGTGTGTGCTATAAGTATATTTTGGAATCTAATGTAATTTTTTCTCCTATCCGTTGTTTTACCCTATGGTTGCTAAGTTTCTAGGTATACCCAAAATGCATTTGTTTGCATTTGTTACCTACCCGACGTAGATTTGCAAAATAAATGTTTCGGAACTTTGGTTTAAACATGCGATATTTGGGATACCAACTAGTACGGACTACCTCTAGACATATATAATATCAGAACTTCAAAAAGCTATAATTTTGAAACTAATTCTGACTTTACTAAAGTTCTTAAATCGGCAATACATATACATTATATGTTCAAAAAAAAAAAAAAAAAATAATAATAATAAAAGAAAAGTTGAAAAATGTACATGGACCAGTAACTAAATTTGTTCCTCATAATTTTCATTCACACGATTTTCGTCAAAATTTGATATTAAAATTTCTTTATAAAAAAAATAATACAAATTGTTTTATTTTTTACCAAAAGTACGATTCAAAGTAAAATTTTTATAAAAAGCTCGAAAAATGGCTCAAATGTTTTGAAAATTCTACTATGTCTAGAAAAAGCAAATATAAGTTGTCTATCCAAATTGTCAGTCTATACAAATATTTTTTACTGATTAAAATAAAAAACAAAATTGAAAATATGAAAAGTAATTTTCTTAAATTTGCCAGTTTTTATTAATTATTATGAAAACCGCTTGGAAAATCAAAAGATGACCTCTTAAAGAACCATCTAGATAAAATTTACTTTCAGGAAAAGTGCTACACGTACATTTTGAAGTAAGATTTCTGGTAGAAATTTTTGTGACAATATAAAAAAAAAAGGACATCCTAATGGGAACGGGTGCAGTCACTGTTATAGGTAATTTAATGTATATCGCTGTAACAACGATTAACCATTGGTAACGAAAAAACGATTCTGAGCGTAGCTCAGTTGATAATGATGTTTTGTCAACATTTATGTCATATTATGGTAAAACAATTAAACAGGCATTGTATATTATCTTTAATAATATTTGCTTGAAGTACCGATTTTCCCGTTCATTCAATGTTTTTCCCGGTTTTTCACGTTTACCGAGAAAACTCTTGAGAAAATATAAAAATGACGTCCTTAAAGTATCTCCACAGTCAAATTCCTTTTGAAACATTGCAATCGTTATAAATCGGAGCAAAATTTCTAGTAGAAAAGTTGTCCACAAAAAAAAAAAAAAATAAACATCTCTGTAAAACTACACTCAGAATCTATAATCGGAATCATTAATAACAATTAAATGTCATTACAGAAAATAATCGAAGAAGAATCGTTTATTCCGGGGAAACCGAATTATTATCTCAGTGTTGTATTTACATTAAGCAGCAATAAAAGAGAATATTCGTCCTTATACAATATAGGACGAATTTTATTTTTGAATACACGCATATCTAAAAAAAGCCGCACCACGAGGATAATCAGTTACTCTCCACCGGGTGTTTGAACCGAGAACAACGTTCAGGACCCGGACGTTCAAAAAAAGATTTAAAATCATATTATTGTCGAAACGTTTGAACGTACGCAATGCTTACCCGATTGAGCATGCTCGTCTTCTCCGGCTGGTCGGGATCCAACAACAGGCTGGTGAACGATTCGTTGAATTCCACGCACGTCTGAGCCACCAAGCGTGGCTGGCTAACGAAGTGTGTCTCCGGCGTGCCGTCCACGTGCCTGTAGACGGCGACATCGGCGCGAAAGTCACGGGCCGTACGGCACAGGTCGTCCGCGCCGACCGCGAACAAACTAGACGTTCCTCGGGACATCCAGACCGTCCCGCCGCCGACGGTCCGGTTGCCGCAATGGTCGCCCTCGCACACGGTCATGTCGACCAGTCCGGGAAACCGCAAGCACACGCACAGCGGACACGTGTTGGTCGCCTCCATCGCGCCGACCAACGTGACCTTCCGCACTACCACTTCTAGTGAATAAATATTTTGAGCCGCCATTGATTTGTGTGAGGAAATCGTGTGTGAAAATGTTTGTTTGATTTTGATTGCGGTCGCGTTTCGATATTATTATTAACTATTCCGCGGTTTCCTAGACTACATTTGCGTACAGGTGGCGATACTACCGCAATAGTAAAACATTGTACATTATTATGCAGCCGAATTCATTCCGACGAAAAAGCATTCCCTACACGGACATGTGTACCACACAACAATAAATCAAAGTCGTGGCAGTTTCCTCCGCTTTTCTACTGAAACTTTCTAAACGTAACCCGATGAACTTATAGAAAGATGGAAAAATAAGTGCGAGAAAAGTTGTCCACAGAAAAAAAATCAAAATATTTTTACATTTCGACTGTGATATAACTGATGATGAACTTTTGGTTTTGAAACCGGTCACTATCACTAATACACTTATCATAATACAACAAATGATGTATCCATTAATTAATTTATTTTATTTTCTACATCAATTTTGTTTTACTATACTTATTTACTTTATTTTATTAAATATATTTTGTACATTTTCCCGTTTTCTTTTCGGTATTTTGCATTTAATGAGAACACTCGTCAGAAAATCGAAAAATGACCTTTTATGATAACATAATGATACAGGTAATGTTTATTATTATGATAAATTGTCAATAAGATTTTATTGCCATTTTCTATACCAAAAAATGTCCGATAAACCTAATGTTTTCCTTCCATTTTGTTGACAGAATCTTGTTTGGAAGAAGAATCTGACGTTTCAAGTGACATTTTCCAAAACATTGTAACTGAAAAACTACAGATGTGTTGAGTGAAAGTTTTTCTCATCTTTATGGAGGAAGGTTCATGTTTATCAGGAACTTATTGGTATGGTAAATGACAATAAAAACTTTTTGACAATACATATATAAGACACATAATATTAACCTTTTAAGTACCCGAACTAACCTAACCTAATCAAACCTACAGAAATTTATCATACATTTTATCATCTCCTATATAATGAGGTTACTATGAAAATGAAAGAAAGATCTTCTCCAACCAACTCCCCCCGTCTACAAATACAAATTTACTCCAAAGAAGTCACAGACCCCAGTGATATCAATCCTACTGCTTTTAGACGCTCCGTTGGAGTGCAATTCAAACAGTCTTGGAACTTTTTGTACACACCTTGTATACACAATATAATCAACAGCATAATATCTATAAATTATACATCATACATTATATTAAGATTTTATCGACCTTTGACAATTATTAATAATCATACTTAAATTAATGTTTTATTTTAAATATTGCACTTTGAGGGTTTTAAGAAAAAACTTACAATTATATATGCAAAAAAATAAATATGGATAAATTATAAATAAATAAAAAAAAAATAAAACACCGCATCGATTTCGCAATAATTTTAGTTTTTTTTTTTTTTATGTAATTTTAATTTATTTTCACATTCATTTATATATATATATAATACAATCTTAGTACTAAATAATAAAACATAATAACTTAATATCCTGTTACTAAAATTCAAAATGCTAATATCTATATCAAATCTAATAATAACACAAAAAAGACCTAGAAATATGAGACATAAAATTCTTCTATATGATATATACTAATAATAATCAATCATCATCATAAATAAAAAATACAATAAATTTTATCTAATATATTGAAGAAAAGAAGATATTGTCTAAAAGTGAGAATATTATGTATTTGTAGGTAATAATGTATTACTTTTTTTATAATAATAACAATAATATAATGTAAACAATTAATAGATCGATATTTTATTGTATTTTTCTATATAAATTTATCACTAAAATATAATATAATAATATTTTGGAAAAAAATAACATTCAGCGGTGGAAAAAAAAAACTATAAACACATAAAAATTATATTATTATAATAAATGAGATAAGAACATGAGAGAGAAATGATAAATTAGAATTTTTTGTTGTTTGAATCTGTTCAACACTATTCTCTTATTAATTTTTTTTTACTTAACATATAGGGAAAAATAAGGGTATTCAGCAGTCTCATAGCATGTATTTTTTTTTTTAATAACTCTTTTCCTACAAAGATTATGAGTTTGGAGGAACATGATAAGACAGGTAAGGAAAATAATTAGTGACAGCCTTATAATGAACTTTAAGATTACGTGTAGTTTGAAAAAGCGGAAAGAAGTTGCAGACAGTGGCGTGGCGAAGTGAAATATTTTATCGGGCAATTCATTTTTTTTTAATGACCTACCACCACCCCTCGACTCTTAGGCATTGATCATTATCATTACTCATGAATAAACTAAAATGATAGTGCTTTAAATTGCCATATTCCTTATTGTTTTTTACAGTATTCTGAGCTGATGGCTTTTCCTAGAATACTTATTATTAATTTTATTATTCTTATTTAATATCATATGACATATTCTGATGAAGTTAATCTTGTACTACAATTTCTCCACAGACTCCAGTACTCAACCACCAGGCACCCACCCACCCACCATTTAAAATTATCGGGCAATTACCCCTCAAAATCACGGCCAACACGCCACTGGTTGCAGGTGTTTTAATTTTATAAGATTATAGACTGAAATTGATTGAACGTGTCTCGAGGATAGTGGAATCTGAAGCACGAAGAATTATTCTATCAAATGAAACATAGGAGGAAAGAAGGGGTTACTTTAAATATGCTAATATTATACACTTGTTATAATTTATATTATTATATATATTTATATAATTGATTATTTTAAACGAGAAAAACGTAAATACTATACAACTAAATTGTTTTTATTCTTTTCCTTTTGGTTTTTCTCTCAAAAATATATTCCAGTTAGCTGTGTTAGTTCACTTTTATTCCGGTTAACGAACACATATCATTTCCACGCAGCATTATAGGTATGCATTAAAATCCAAAATAATAATGAAATTTGTATAAGTTAATCGCATAACTTTCTCTTAATAATTATAACATAACATCACATTATCCTATTTATATTTATAATAGAAGTATTTATCTTAAACGTTTAATCATACTGTAGGTAAGATTTATAGATAACGAAAAATCAATAAATTATTATCATAAACATTTAATTGTATAACAATAACCGAATAGTTTTTTCTTAATAATATTATTATTATGTCATCTATTAGGTGTACAATAATTCTTCAAAGACGGAGGTTTTAATAAAGAAAATAATATCGAATTTTAATAAACAAAAACAATATTCCAATATACTAAAAATACTTTATGTACACTTATATGTATATTCATTAAAAAGATACTTATATTTATTAACTAAATCAAAAAACGACGTTGTTCAAATTTGCATTGAAATACTTACGTCGTTTGTTTAATATCTACTATTGGAATTTAACCATCCTGAGTTGACATCGACGCCGATTTCTATATAAAATTTTCCTTAAAAAGTAAACTATACCTTAATCTAAATATTTAAATCATAATTAATAAAGTGTTTTATCATTACATTGTATGAATAATATAATTTTGGTAGTATTCCTATATAACAATTACTGATTAGTGAATTCGGAGCAGCCAAATTGTATTGAAAAAAAATTATCCTTAAATTTGAAACATAAAAATATTAAAAAAAAAAATTCCATTTACTATTAACTCTAAACAATAAAATTCTAGGTAGAAAAAAACAGGAAATTTTTTCTACTGATGAGCGGAAATTTGAAGAAAAACCATTTTACGAAACTGCGAAATTGGTAATTTTAAAACTGTGTTAATGATATAGTGGTATAGTTAATGCAGTTATATTTCCTAAGTCGAACTAAAGGAATAATATAAGGAATAATACTTCAGTATTATGAACATTGAAACATTGTACATATTAAAAAGTTTATGAAGCATCAGGTTAAAAAAACACAGCTTATAGGGATAAGATTAGATACAATCAATGTATTATTTGTATTGAGCTTAAAACAAAAAAAATGTATGAAACGATTTGTGTGTACATAATGATTTGGTTAATATTATAAGAATTAGATCGAAGTGATTGCTGATTAAAGATTGTGGATTTATAAAATATAAGCATAAATGCGAATTTTGCAGATATTTTCGTGAAGTCATAAGAAATTACAAAAGAGAAATGTGCGTCACTGATTATAGTTCATGTTCACCACATCATGACTGTAATGTATTCTTAAATTATCCGGAATAGTGAGTATTCTTTAATTTGTTTTTTTTTTCTAAGTACATGTCGAATACAATACGATCGCACGCGTGCATAAGAATTTTTTTCGAAAAAAAAGAAGTTTTTTAAGAAGTTTTTTGAACAGAACGAAAAATGTATTTTGCTAACGAAAATAGATGGGTTATGTAAAGAAGAAGAAAAACATATATCTGCAATTATTATAAAATTATAATATATATTTTGATGATCAATGATCAATAACCAAGGTAACGTTTTATTATACTTATTATACTTATTATAATTTATTACTTATTATCTTTAACCTATGTTAATTTAGTATATTAAAAATGACGTTGTTTAAATTTGCATTGAAAAACTATTTGATATGAAAAATTTAAAAATATATAATTATATGTTTTAAAAAAAATACGCGGCAAAAAATACAAATTAAAATTCTGTTTGAACCTTAAAATGTTTTTAAAACAAAAAAATGTTGCTATACACTTATATTACTATATACACTTATAATTACTTATATTGCCTAGAACTTATTATAGTAAAATAAATTAAAAGACGACGTCGTTCAAATTTGTATTGAAAAACTTACGTCGTCTGTTTAACGTCTACTGGAAATATTACCATCATTCAGTTAGCTGTGACGCCGAACTTTTATTAAAATTGTATTTAAACAAACAAAAAAAAAAAAAAAAAATCTTAAATCTAGGAACGAAATTTAAAACAAAATCTGCTTTAAAAAATACTTTATAATAAAAAAATAAATTTTGTACTATATATTTATATTTTTAAATTTTTATAAATTTTTGATTAAGTCGGAGCAGACAAATAATAATGAAAAAAATAACTATGGTTTATTCGGAATGATATAATTTGAAGAAATAAATATTAACTTTACAAATAACACTGACTCTAAGCAGTAAAAATTTTGGTAGAAAAACAAAAATGATTTCGACTGCAGATAAAAGGAAATTAAAAAACACAAAACATAGTATGCGACAAAATCGGAAAAGTTGAAAACCGAACGGGTGTATTTATTGTTACTAATTTTTCTAAATCGAATCTATATAATAATATTGAAGCTCTTAAGTATAATTATTTTTTAATGGTAGAACATGAAAAGATTTATTTGTCATCGGTCTAATCGGAGAAAAAGAAATTTATTTGGGTTGAAAATTATCGTTTAAGACCTGCTCCAAAAAACTCTTTGTCGTGAAATATATAAAAATATATAAATATAATTCTTTTTTATAATACGCGGCAGAAAATACCAATTCAAATGATGTTTGAACCTTCGAATTTTTTTAAACAAAACAATATTGCTATACATTTATGTTACTATATACACTTATATAAACTTATATTGCCTATTACTTATATTAATTTACTATATAAGAAGACGACGTTGTTCATATTTGTGATGAAACTTACGTCGTCTGTTGTCATTGATACTTTTGAAATGAACACCTATAATGTAGGAGTTACGGATAAGAAAAAAAAATCATAAAAATCAAAAATGTATTCGCTTATACAAGATATACATATTAAGAAACATAAATATACTTACTGTTATGAAATATTAATAAATATAAAAAAAAAAACAATATTCTAATATATCTGCTTATCTGTTACTTAACTACCATATTATTACTTTTAACCTACTTATATTAATTAACTATAATAAAAGATAACGTTGAACAAATTTGTGCTGAAATTAACCTCGTCTCTTAGTTATTCATACAAATGTATAAGAACGTACCGGTAAAGTAGGAACAAATAACGATAAATGAAAAAAAATATTAAATCTATGAGCTTATGTATAATGTATTTGAATCAAACGAGAATTAAATCTATTTTTTTTAATATACTTTTATTGCTATATACGTACACTAATTATTATTTATTTGTAATCAGCTATAGCTAATAATAATTTACGACGTTATTACAATTCGCATTTAAATAATTACGTCGACTGTTAATATCTAATTTTGTTGCACTCTGTACCCACCTACACTCCGTAAACAGAAGTTTTAATAACTAAATTAACCAAATAATCGAATTTTAGGAAACAAAAACAATAATATTCTAATAATCTAATATAATTACATTACTGTACCCCTAAAATAACTGATAATACATACTTAAATGATTTTAGTACCTATTTAATCTATATTGTAACTAAACTATCTTTAGTGAATTCGGAGCAGACAAATTATATTATGAAAAAACTATAGTTAAAACGGATTGATAAACTATAGCAAAAATGTATCAGGTTTTCTATAAACACTGACTCTACGCAGTAACATATTTAGTAGAATAAAAAAAAAAACTACAGACGAACGGTAATTTGGAGAAAACACAGCTTACGCAACAGCAACATCGGAAAAAAAAATACCAATTCAAATTTTATTTCCACTCTCGAATGTTATGATACAAAACCATATTCCAATATACTTTAATTACCGTATACATTTATTATTACTTACATCACCTCTAACTTATATTAATTAACTAAATTAAAAGACGACGTTGTTCAATTTTGTATTGTAATACTTAGGTCGTCTATTTAATATCTACTGAAATCCTCGACCACGTAACGAACATAGTTGGCTGTGATAACAAACGCTTATTTAAGTTTAAATCTTAAATCTAAGTACATAACTTCTATAAAAATCTGCTTTAGTAATTCATTAAATAAAAACATAAATTTTGTACTATACTTTTTTTATAAATTTTTTTTTTGTTTATTTGTATAAATACTAGGTAAAGTCAGACCAGACAAATAACATTAAGACAAATTACGATGGTTTATTCGGAATAATATATTATGCAGAAATAAATATTAATTTTTCTACAAACACTCATTCTAAGCAGTAATAATTTTGACAGAAAAACAAAAATGATTTCGACTGCAGATAAAAGGAAATTAAAAAACACAAAACATAGTATGCGACAAAATCGGAAAAGTTGAAAACCGAACGGGTNATTTGTCATCGGTCTAATCGGAGAAAAAGAAATTTATTTGGGTTGAAAATTATCGTTTAAGACCTGCTCCAAAAAACTCTTTGTCGTGAAATATATAAAAATATATAAATATAATTCTTTTTTAAAATACGCGGCAGAAAATACCAATTCAAATGATGTTTGAACTTTTTCAAAACTGTTTGAAAAAAGAACAATATTGCTATTCACTTATAATTACTCATATTACCTATAACTTATATTAACTATATTAAAAGACGACGTTGTTCAAATTTGTATTAAAAAACTTAAGTCGTCTATTTAATATCTACTGGAATCTTAACACTCGTCACATACATAGTTGGCTGTGACGCCGTACTTTAATTATAAGTAATATGAATCTTATTATACATCAAACTAAAATTTATACATTGAAACTTCAAAAATATTTACTGATATTACTCATATAACCTTTTTTTTTTCGTCAGAATTTATTTATATTTTAATGAGTTCCTACTATTGAAGTAGACACAAAACCGATAAAAGTAAAAAAAAAAAATTGTATTTAAAACTTTAATCTAAGTGCTTATGTAAATTATGTTTGAATAAAAGAAGAATAAAATCTAGGCATTAATAACAAAAAAAAAAAAAAAAAACATCCTATGAGACTGTGCTTTTGGCGTTTAAGGAAAATCCGTATGGCATAAAAAACTATTTTTTATTTTGTTCTATTGAAAAATCCATTAATTATTCATATTCATGTTTACCATTAATTCTATGTAGTATACAAATCTAACCAAGTTTTAAAATGACACTGATAGAGATAATCAATGGCGTGAAAAAACAAGTTACATAAACAATAATGTGAAATAAAATATGAGTTACAAGCCTTACCTATATTACATAAAAGTTTCATTTTGGAATGAATTGTTTTTGTTTTACTTTTGAGAATAATGTTGATAGGAGTCATCGGGTGAAACGGTTGCTTCGACCGGGATCGGAACGGTATAAATCATGTCTGGCACAGCTTCTGGATAACCGGGGTGTGGCCTGGCTTCGTACTAAAACACGAATAATATTCATTTACGAATACCAAGTTCAATATCTGTTAGGTACTGGTAGCAGTACTAATATTAATAGATTCTCCGCAGTTTTTTTTTAAATTTTTTACCCGATTAACAAAAAATAAATCGAATTAAACATTAGTGTATTGCTTTTTATTGATGTTAGGGATATTTTCCAAGTATCTATTGAACGTATACAATTAGTTAACTAACAGTGTAACCGCCCAAGGAATTCAAGAGACTTACCAATCCGTTTCCAATCTGCAAAGCAGACATATCGGTAGCGAGTTGTGGTATATCCGAATAATTTTGATTAGCTTGAGAAAAAATCTGACAGCGACCAGAAGTTTTTATGAAAAAAAAAAAACACCAGCAAACATGGCTGGTAATACGTGAGTACCGCCCGTACCGGTCATGCCACTGCGAGACGAATCAGATGTGACGATCGCGTCCTGCAACATACTAGAGCGGTGTACTGGAAAATGCATATTATATCCGTCGTTCTGTAAAATAACAAATGAAAACAAATACTTAATCGCACAGAATAATAAAGAAAAACTAATAAGACGACGAAAGATAATAATACCTTATATTAATCGAAATGGTTATGAACCGTAATTATATTTCTAATGTTCTAAAATGTGTATCTTTTATGTATACATATATATATATATATATATCAAAGACGTTTTATAAAAAAACAGACAAACACAACAACGCGATGCAGAGACCGGAAGAAGACTGGGGCGGTAACGTTTGGCTTGCGAGATTATTGACGAAAAATAAAACTGCCGGTCGGGTATCTACAGCGCACGGGTCACGGCGCATTGATCGTAACGTAAAAATCACAGCACTCACTGGTTACTCACTCACTGGTAATATTATTTTTTTTTTTAATAGTTGCACCATTTATTTAAAATATAATAATATTTTCCTTGTATGTTCTCTATCAACCTTTGGAATCTGCATTATGCTACTAGTGCTGCTTTTCATTAAACACAAATAAAATATTATAATTATATAATATTTTTAATATTTAATAAAATAAATTGTATACGAATTAACAACCCATAGTAAATAATAAGTTATCAATATTGTTAGCGACTTTTGTTTAGGGGCAAAATGAATGCAATTTTTAAATGGTTTTTAAACAGAAGTGTAGTGTGGTTCGATTTGTGTACCACCACCTATCGCGTCATAAACGTGGCAGTTATTATAATATTAATATAGTAGGTCGGTCGGATTGTTATCGTAAATTTATTTTTGGGTTTATAACAACAATACAGAATATTTTAATATATTATTGAATAGATCGCAGATATGAGTCTAAACTTTGTATTTCAAATATAATCGTCCATTTTCCAAAAAATTAAAATTACGTTTTACTAAAGTAACTAAAATAATACATTCCTTGCTTCACTCAAAATATATAATTGAAGTAATGATTAAAATATCCTTATTCCGAACACATTTATTTGAGACGTAAATATTATAAATACCAATCTATATATAAATTGTCTAATATTAAAATAAATATTAAGAACAAAAAAAAAAAAAAAATATAATAACAAACCATACATACTTCGTACGTGGGCCACAATTGTTGGTGAGAAGGGAATTGGAAGGGAAATTTTATGTACGAAAAGATAACTTATTGCAAACAAAAAGCGATTTTGAGCCGAATTCGGTTGTTAGTGATGTAATGTCAACAATATTTATGTCAAATTATGATAAAATAATTACATGTGCATAATAAATTCCTGATTTTTCCTAACAAAAAATTATAAAACTCCTGGGAAAATCGAAAAATTACCTCCATAATGTAACTTCTCATTCAGATTTGCTTTCAGATAAACAGCTATTATTGTAAATCAGATCAAAACCGAGGAGAATCGTTTTTCATTTGCAATACCAAAAAATATTTACAGATAAATATAAAATTACATATAAAAAAATCTGCACCTGTCTCCATTATCCTAGGATATCTATTTACAAATACCAGTACGATATATACATTTTACTCTATTACTTCTTTTTTATACCGTTATTTCACATTTATTAGAGAAAATCAAAATATGCTCTCATTATAAAAAAAGAAAGTAAATAATATAAAAATAAAAAAAACCTCATAGTAAAACCAATCCTTACTCTACTTACTTTAAGTTTAAAATTGAAA